CTATGTAAGGGGCAGCTGCTGTCTGAGTAGCTGCTTCAGTGGCATGGAAGGGGCCCTGCGTCCACTGTGCATACAACCCTATTCCTGGTGAGCGCCCCATGAACACTTGGGCTTGAACTCAAACCCTGGGCCTCTGCAAGCTGGACCTGTGTCCGGGATGGACTCCTAGCACATTTGCAGCACCAGCATGAGTCTTTCAGAATGAAAAGAGATGAATAACCCTGACGTTTAACTAATTTAGGGGACCATCCTATGCCCACCCAAATTTGACTGGGGTTACAGAATTATTTAGAGTCCCAGATTACAGGAGACTTTGGAGCTGGGGCCCACAGGACTGACCACCAGCCCTCTGCCCACTGAGGATGCAGCTGGGCCTGGGAGAGGCCAACTGGGCATGCCAGGGGACAGGAGGGAAGGTGGGTGGATCACCCTCTGGATGGAATACCCCAAAGCCACACTTCGTTCTCACCACTGGATGCTTGCAAGCCTGCAGTTTTGGAGGCTTCTGCACATCTGCATGAAGAGCATTGGGCTGTGTCCTTAGCTTCAGTGTTATTTCGGATGGGATTCCTGTCTTTTTAAAAATTCTTGCTTTAAAGAGATGCATTGCTGCTGCTGTTTCGTGATCTTCTATTTTTTTCACGGGAGACAGTCTTAGGTTCAAGATGGGTCACACCTTGTTTAAGTACACAAACCAAATGGAATACATGAGAGGTCATCTGAGGAACATCTGGGCCATCTAAAAGGCTGCTATTGCTGTGCATCAGAATGCAGCAGAGACCCACTGAAATGGAAGCCAGTGAAACACTTGGACGAGAGTCCAGCACACAGCCATTGAGTAGCACAGCACTGATCGGCAGCCGCCCACCCAACTTCCAAAGCCTCCCACGAAAGTTCTGAAGAAGGTTACTCCAGATTATCCATAGTCTGTTGCTGCACTTACCTTGTCGGAAATACGCTGGCACTGGAAAGAACAACAGTGGGGAGCCCTTCATGCCTTCACTCAGAAGAAGGTCTCAGCCAGGGGAAGTCATGCCAGCTGATGCCCATAAAGCCAGTTCTTGGTAAGTGCGTCTAAGAGTGCTGTGTGAATCAGTGGCACCTGAGTTTGTCAAGGCTTTTGGAGCCCCACCCCATGCGTTCTTAAGAAAAGCAAAGGTCCATCACGTCCAGCGCTGAGTTCACCTGGTGGCCTGAGCTGCAGGAGAAAGGGGTCCTCCCCGCACCATTTATGGAAGTCAACCTGGCTGTAGATCACAGCTCGGCACTGGTTGTGGGGCAGCATCCTCCATACCTGACGATAACAAGCTAGTTTAGGGAGTGCGGGGCAGTCTGCGTGGCCCGTGAAGCTCTGGCCTCCAACACCCCCCTCGCTGCTGGTGGTCCACCAGCAGCGGCTGCTGCTTCACTCTGCCAAATGGTGGAGCTGACAATGGGCAACCTGCACCTTCCCACTCAGCTTTCCTAGGAACTGGCAAGTGTAGGTATACCTTCTGGAGTAGCATTTAGCCATCTTGACTAGCAGCTGCCCCGAAACTCATTCCAATTCACATTAGGTGCTCCCCTAATTCACCTGAAAATGTATGCGCATGTTGTGCACTTTCCCCTAAATGTGCGCATCCATTAGCCACCGTTTTGAAAACATAAACATTTATCTCCCATTGATCTTTGTGCGCGTTCATCGGAAGTATGCATTTCAGGCACAGTTGATATGAAAGGTCCATGCATTTTTTAAAAACTCTGCAAATCACATTGCAAACTCAGAAATGTGCAGACTTTAACTCCAGATGGTGGTTGGAAGTGTGCTCCATTCTGGGAAAAGCAAACTGGGCAACTTCTGGTAAAACTGAATTGAAACTAGTGCAACCTCAGTTGACTTAGAGTTGTAACTTCAAAGGAGAAGGTACCCAGGAGGCAGTACAGTGCAGTGGCCACATTTAGGCCGAGGAGTCCAAGTTCAGGACAGCCATGAACTTGCTGGTCTTGTCACCATCTCTTAGCCTAACCTCTTTCACAGGGATTTGGGTAGGATAAAATAGAAGGGCACCAGATACACCCTCTTGCACAAAAGACAGAATAAAAATGCAATAAATAGATCGTGAGTAGGAGAGATGGGTTTTCTTCTGTCTTCGGCAACCTAGGAGCTGGTAATAGAATCATAGAATAGCAGAGCTGGAAAGGGCCAAGAAGGCCCTCAAGTCCAACCCGCTGCTGTTGCAGGACACCACGTTACACCATCCCACTCAGATGGCTGCCCAATTTCTCTTTGAGTGTCTCCAGTGTGGGAGAGCCCAGAACATCTCCAGGCAGCTGGTTCCACTGTTGCATTGCTCTGACAGTCAGGAAACTTTTCCTGATATCTAGCCTGCATCTGGGTTGTCACAGCTTGAATTGATTATTTTGGGGCTCATCTGCCTAGTCTATCCATAGGCAGCTCTTCCTCCTGGGTATTTGGACTTTTTACATCTCTGAGTGCCTTAAAAGACCGTGTGGCTGCACTGGGAGCTCTTTGATGGGCTGAGAGGCGAAACGGTCCTGTACAGCGAAGGATGTTCATAGTACCAAGGGACGTACAAGAGAATTTCTTGAAGCTGTGATGATGGTGCCAGGAAGGCAAAGGCTCGGAATCGGCGGAGGATTAAAGCAACAACAGAGACTTCTTTGACTATGTTAGGAGCATGAAGACTCACAGAAAGTGCACATATTTACTCGGGTGGCGATAACATATGCAACCAACAGATGCCAGTTTCTTTTTGTTTACTTATCTTTTGTGCCACCAAAAAACAAACAAACAAACAAACCCTTTGTAGCATCACAGTGCCAACTCTCTTCTGTACACCTGGTGGGAAAGATGCCAGTCCAACCTGATTCGTTCCAGGTTGCAACACGGCCAATTGCCTAAGAGTCAGAGGAGGCACATGTGCATTGCTCTGCAGCGTATGTGAACACGCAAGGGGTAAAAGCGGGGGTGGCGAGTGGGGTCTACTGCCGAACTCCCAGTGGCCCTGTCTGTTCCATCCGCGGCCTTCAAGTAGTTAGAAGTTGGCTTAATCAGTGATGGTTTCTGTTTTCAAGGATGCTTTAGAGTACTCAGCTGAAGGCATTTAAAGACCCCCTTCAGACTTCACTCTATATCAGCCGTCACCAACTTGGTGCCTTCCAGATATGAAAGAATGAAATTCCTATCGTTGCCGAATTTCTTTTTTTTAAACTTTAAACATTACACAGCGTAGGAATGCCGGAGGAGTGGAGATCTTCACTCGTATGAATAAAGCCACCTCCGGCTATTCCACAGTGAGCATCTTTTATCAGGGGATTCTGTGCCTCTAAAAAGAAGCCAAAAGCATATTTTTTCTCGGTGCTTTTTAAAAGCTATCCTTTCAGCCTTCCCTTGAATCTTGCTCCTCTTGTGCAAAGTGCACCAAATTCCCTTTGGATCCATCCTCCATTCAACCCAAGATGATGGTGGCCATTTCTTCTCCTGGAATGATCCCATGTGGAACAGGGACCTTCTCTCTGGGATCATTTGGCTTTCTCGGCTAGCCACCAAAGCTTACCCGTGTGTGGTCCTTAATGTTATCAAACTGAGTGGCCCACTCCTCTGTACAGGAACATCTTACAGAATGAAATGCCTTGAAAGGTAAGTCAAGATAATTAATCTCACTCTCTTTTTCTCTTAGGTTCCCACTTAGATGTGTATCACCTTACTGCTATATACAGAAAGCAAATGAATCCAAGAGTATTTTGCATTGTACGTCTTAGTTCTGCACCTTGTTAACCTGGTTTATGCTCCATTGTATTTCAAACCGGGGTTATGCATAAATATCAACTTCTCAATCTAATTTGTGCATCTGAAGAAGAAAATCACTGCCTATGGAAGGGGATACTGCAAAATAAGCCACGGGAGCTTATTTTTAAATGGCAGTAATTTTTCTTCCCCTTTATAATGGAAAACGTATCTTCATTCATCCTAGGAGGGCCTTTAAAGGGTTTTGAACTGTTGGGATAATTCCGTAAGCCCTGTTCAAACACTCTAGAAAGGCTCCTTTACGAATCTTTGTCTCGGCTGGTTAATTTTCTAGCATGGCACAATCTGCAGATGGGCCATCAACAAAAATCTCACACAAACTAAAGGTTCGGTTTGCTGTCCACAAGCAAGACAAGCATGTCCATACACACTGTAGGAATAACTTATCTTTAAAAGGATGCAAAGGCAGGAAAAGCAGGCAGAATTTGTAAGCCGCCCCGAGGCTTCGGCGAATGGGGCGGCATAAAAATGTTTTAATAAATGATAATAAATAAATAATAATTTGGAGTAGACTCAAAATTATTGAAATGGAACGTCTGGCAAGGGGAAGTGGCAGTTCCAGGGTGGGGGAGTGGTGCAGCAACCTTTTCTTTCTTTTAGAGGAAGAGGGAGAACAAGTGGAAGCCATTTGCTCCTGCTTCCTCCTGCCAGAATCGGTGGAAAGGGTGCAGCAGAGACCAGCTGTCTCTACTGTCTGATGACTGATGTGAAACGAACAACGCTGGCAAGCCTCAGGCCAGCAGGGCAGAGAAGCCACGATGGGGTTTCCTCCCCACCACTCTGGTTTGTTCTTGCTTTGCTGGAGTGCATCCCTCTCGTTCTGACCCACAGTCTGGTATCCATCCGCTGCCCCTTCACCTCAAGAGCATGCCTGGAGATCAGGAAGGTTTGGATTCCACAGAACCAAATTCTCCTGCAATTCATGTGCAACTTTCCTCGTCATGCAGCCTCCTTTTTTCCTCTACTGATGTCAGAGCTTTGGTACTGGAGAAGGAAGGATTACAGAGAGTTCTGCCAGATCTGGGAGAGGACATCAGAGGCTAGATCTCTCTCTCCAAGGATGGACCTGTTTTCCTTCCCTCAGTGGGGCATCTGAACTAAGATGACCTCTCGGGCATTAATTTTTTTCTGCAGGAAAAAATAAAATCAGAGAACGCGACTCAGTGATTGAAGGAAAAAGGCGAGCAATGACTACGATACCACAGAATTATATTTAAGTTTTTCTTCACATTGCAACATCCACCTTGTTCATTTTGTGACAAGTTATTTCGAATAATTCTGAATCCATATTTACTATTATACATTATACCAAGAGGCACTTCCAGTAACTCTGGCAAAAAAGAGCTTCATTATAGTGTCTAACTTACAAAACAGTAAAAATAAATAATGTTTATCTAAAAGATTTCTCTTTTTCCCTGTACAGAATCTATTTTGTACAAAACATTTATCAGCCATTACCTAAAAATCACTTAACAAATACATGTGAAGGGAAATATATTAAGTATTGCTGCAGGGCTAAGTGCAAGATATCAGTGAAGGAAAAAGGATTTCGGTCCGTCCGTCAAAGATCATCACCTACAAATAAAAGGCCTTGTTCTTGAAGTTCTCTGCTCTTAAAAAAAAGTCGGTTACAACAATATTGACAATATATATAACTATAAATTAATGCATGTCGTCCTTAGTGAAAAGAACACCGTGTTAAAAATGAACATGTACAAATACTGAAGGGGAGGTGGCACTTTTCCACATTGATACTTTGGTTGGCAGGGGGGTCTCCCTTGGCCACGAGCCAGTCAGAGATGGGCTCACCTTCGATTTCAACAGGAGACTCGGTGAGGAACTGGTCATGAATGCTTTGTTCGACGTGTCTCCGGCACATTGCACTCCAGCTCTTTCCCCCTTCCCCACAGGTAAACACTGGTTGAAATTTCACCCACTGAAAATTGATCTTGGCAGTGCTTAACTCTAGCGGGATCATGCCCATTTTTTCCTGATTTGTTAAAGAGGACAAATCTTAGAATACAATGCTTTGACTGCTAGCGGCTACCGAGATGGCCAACGGGAGACTTCAGAGTCTGAGCTCCAACACTGGAAACTTGCTCCTTCACAGAGGGTGCAGAAAGAACCAGACGGGCTGTGGCTCCGAGGTCACAAGAGCGACCTTGGAAATGGTGTTTTGTAGCAGGGAAGGGAGTGGGAAGATCAGGTGCCTCACGCTCCTTCCCGCCTGCTCCAAGGCCGAGCCCTGAGATGGCACAAGTGCCCATCTAAGTATCTGCAGGCAGGAGAAGTGCAGAGCTGCCCCTTGCCTCTTCCCTCCATACAGTGCTAGCAATCTTCCGATTTCCAATGGGAATGAGCGGCTAACTAGATCACCCCACTCAAAATTGCTTTACAAGAAATGTGCAGGAAAGAAGATACACGTTCTGCAAAAGGGATCTCAGCAAGGGAAATAAAGATGCAGCTCTGTCAAAGGGGTCATTGCCAATGGGAAGCATGAAAAAAATAACGACTGTGGATGCTCCAATAGACTAGCAAAGTGCTCGCACACCATCAGAAGGTGCAGCTTTGAAGAGGCACTCTCTGCTTTGCACGTCTGGAAGCAAACCTGTCTGCTGGGAAGAAAAGTAAGAGGCAGGGGCAAGAAAAGCCTTCTTATGGCAAAACCTTCCAGTGGCTGAGATGTGAAAGCTACGCTTGCAGAGGACTATCAGGATTTGGTTCACAAGGTGCACAAGTCGATTGCATCTTCACCTTAAAAGGTGTGGCTGGTCTAAATATTTTCCACCTTGGCCTTTCCACTTGAACTGACCACCACCTGACATTGTTGCAGAAAAATGTGACGATGTGCAAGCCCGTGTCTTAGCTTGAACACAGACGTAGAGTATAATCTTGTGAAGATGCTGCACATGAATATGTGTGTGCAAAGCTGGGGGATCACGGATACTGCAAGGGGGCCCGTGCAGGGCAGAACAGGGTAGGTGTTGTAGGGATTTGCAGCTGGGGAACGCGTGAGCCACAGCGGCCTCCCTGAGTAGTAGTTATGTGAGCCTTCCGGTTGCCAGCCAGGAGGTGGGATGCATCCTGGGAGACGGGTGCGGCCATGCGCTGCCTCCTTTTGGCACGCATCCTTCCGTAATGTCTCCGTTCAATTAAAAAAGAGAACAGTGTTAAAAAGCTGACAGTGCACCGAAGGCCAGTGACTCACTTCTCCTACAACAGGGGACAGAAAGCCAGTCTCAAGACCAGAGCTGAAAGCAAGAACACTAGCAGTGGATCTACTAACACTGATAACCAGAGGTGCAAATGAAGCAGACTCTTGAGATTTCGGTCTAAATGCAGAATATACTACACTGTGATTGCTTATATATGGCCTGATCTGGAAATGGCTTATGGACATGCATACCACCTGCCCCCCACGTGCAGATGGTACGCCTTTCCTTTCTCATTGGTTAGGGACACGTAGGCTGAATCCATTCAGTCTGGGTTTTGGGGGTTGTTGGACATCGTGTGTCTAGTGCTCTGTGGACTGGCAGTACTGGAATTTTTGTAAGACAGCTTTGTTCATTTCTGAATGTCCATGTGCACTAATGTCTTCATGCAAAACCCCCTCCCCCGCAAAAGTAAAACAAACAAAAATGCAACTGGCTCACATATCTGCAGAATCAGTGCGGCTTGCAAAAGATCGGTCCACTCTGGAATTTGCAAGTTCGAGTCACAAAAATCTGAATGCATTGAGTTCTCCAACATCCAGTGACAACTCACATGTTGATCAGGTGAGGTCATAGAAATGAGCAGAGAAATTCTTGCCTGCTGAGATTCTTCTGCACACATGAAACTCTGGATTGGAGGATGAAATTATTTTGAAGAAACTTCTCAAAACTGCCCTGAAATGTATTTGTAAAAGTGTTGATAAAGAAGCACACAAGATGAGCTTAAATGAATGGCAATGAAAGACTTTGAACGTCTGCATACTTCAACTAAAGAAAATTAGGTTTAGACTTGGAAAACTAGTCAGTACTCCTGTCCTAAGGGCATTGCTCAAAATTGTGAATGTCACCCTGATCTTAACTGGCAAAGATGGATGAACATTTAAAAAAAACATCCTGTGCAGAAAAAAGCTGCTCTTATTTATAGGTTTCACATACAGATTGGGAAAAATTAGATTCTAATCTTGGCCTAATTTAAACCATCTCTGTAAGAGATCAATTCAGTCCCCTCGTGAGAGCAATTTATCTTTTTCCTAGCAATCTGTTGGGAGCAAGGAAGTATCACAAAAAGGTGCGTGCGGGGAGGAGAAATACTAGAAAGGGGAAAGAAAAATGGGAGGCAAAGCTCTGTCCCCAGCCACTCCTCGCTTCAGTTTCTTCCACTGCTGGAATGCCAAAGTGCCAGCCACCGACAGAAAAGAAGTTATGTATCCCAGATGGAGAAGATGGCTCAGCTCTCACATGTTGTGCATGCACAGAGCTAATTTTTCTATTTGCCCTTTTGCTGTTTCACGATGTGTAAAAAGAATTGGGGAAGAGGATAAAATCTAGTACTTCACACACGCACACACTCACACACAGAGCGCTTAGAGCCAACTCAATATGCTGTAATAAAACGAGATAGAGGGAAGATGCAACCCAGGTCTGCTGTCACATCTCTGAAGATTCTGGGCCATGTTCTAGAACATGCTATCCGATCTTGAGGGACCTGGCCCCTGCCTGTCAGCTCCCCACATGAACTGAGAGTATGATCCAGAATGGACCCAACTCCTTCTTGTGCTAATGCACTGTAGCGGAAGTCGGGTAGTGGTGAACACACAATGCTTCTTAGATGCTGGTCCATTTTCTTCTTGAAAAGGCCCACATGTGTGTGGAGCACAGCTTGAAAACAACGGTCTAAAGCCATACACAAAGACCCTCAAATACATACTAGTTCCCTTGCCATGATTGCTAAATAGTGATGGCCATGGAGACTTCTTAACCACCAAGGCATTTCTCTGCAGAACTGTCTGAGGAGCAGAGCAGTACCTGCTGGAGCCTGCAGGACGGCCTATATAGAGAATGACACCAAGGTCTTTCTTGCATCACGTCAATGGATGCATGAGCTGGTTTTCTTCAACATAACCCAAGACCATTAGTCCAGAATGGCAGTTTTCCTGCTTCCTATGATTTGCCAAGAGGACGTGTATTCAAAGGGACTTTGCTTCTTATAAATTTCTTGGTCCAAACCCCAGTTCACAGCTGTTTTGCTGTAGAAGGCATCAATGCTGATAAATTAAATCCTTTTTTGCATTTTGGCTGGTTCTTCTACTGAATAACTAAGACATTTCATATTAATTACCAGCTATTTATGGATAGAGCTTTATTAAATGTTCTTTGACAAATAAGCAATAGGTCTTGAACTCCTAAAGTCACTCAGGAAAGTAATCTACAATAGCTTTCTCTGCTGTTGTTTCCTCTCCGTGTAGTATAATTGCATCTTTTAAAAGAGCAGCTGAATCATGCTGAGACCTTACTGGGAGCTGATCTACTCATCATCATCAAAAGGAGGTGACTGTACCACTTCGTTCAGCAGCTAAGGGAGAAATTTGTAAATATGTGGAACACTAGCACATCTACCCCCTTATTCTGCTAAAAGTGCACATCAGCTCCTAGAATGAAAGTTTAACACATAGAAAGTTGCAGATAGAAAATTTAATATTTTGGCACCAGGCTAGAATCAGTAGTGGGCGAGGGAGGAAAACACAACCCTTGCTGTTTTTCATGACTTTCTTCCCTGTGTGTGGTGGTGTGAATCCATTACTAATGTTCCCTGAAGGTGTTGCTCCATTGATTCAAGGGAATGATTCCTCCCATCTCGGCTGAAATTTCTCTAATTGTGCATCTCTAGTGACATAAAAAAGCTTGCTCAATTTTAGACTGCCTCCAAGTAATTACCTGCCTAAGTTGTAACAAAGGCTCACATGCAGTTCATAAAGTTAAGAACTCGGCTGAGAGTTAACACTTAAATCCTGTGTGGAGCAGAAATGATTTTGACACCCTAAATACAGCAATTCTGCCTGTCCCCGCTTTTCTCATATTTCCCATTCAGCAATCAAGGCTTAGCACTCCGTCAGTGTCAAGGCTGATTGCACTTGGACCAGTCTGCCAGCTGGGGGAAGCCCAAGGAACTTGGCCCCTCAGGGCCAAAAATGGCTTAATTGTTTCTGTTCGGTCCCTAGCTGCACTTTATATCGCAAACTCTCCCTTTGGAACGTCCACCGTTCGGGGCAGACTCCGCTGGCTCTTGATGAAGGCAGCTACATTCCTTGCAGCCAGCCCTGCTTCCCAAAATCCCCTAAGTGTGTCATAAAAATATTTTCCAAGGGATTAAACCTTATCCTGAAACGGATACTTTAAGAGGAGGTTACTGAACAATCCACCACACTTTCGAGCTAAAGATTCGAGTCTGTGTGTAGAAACTGCATCATTCCATGCCTCATAAACACCCTCTCTTTACTTCCTGCCATGAGAGAACTGGACACAAGAACACAACAACGTAAGACAAACCACGCTGGAACAGACCAAAGTTCCCTCTAGAACGCCATACACACAGTGACAACACAGGCACCCTGGATGCTCTCCACTGGCATGAGGAGGAAGCAGAAATCCAGATGGACCAACATGAGACTAAGGTTAATTTTGGACTGGCATACCAGCATCGCTGTTAACTATTCCTCCCGTCAACACCAGCCAAGCTATCACGTGATTGCTAGGCCCAAACGGCACTTTGCATGAGACTTTCCCATCACATCTTGAAACAATGACAGGAGACTAGCTGTGGAATAGAGTGCGGGACAATGCCTCCAATGCAGAGCTCGCGTCTTCATGCGTTCCTTTCTGAGTTCTGCCAATACTTTACAGCTGGAAATTAACCCATTATGGCTGTCCAACATCTGGCCTGTTTTGACTTCACTATCACTATCTCCTTCTCCACCTTTCATACCAATAACAGATGTCATTTCCTCATACAGGACTGTGTTTAGCTATTGAACTCACAAGCCAAGAAGGAATGTCAAGAAATGCTACAAACATCGCATTAACATTAAGGAAAGCAGCTTGGCAAATTAAGGACAAATACAGCCCTCTTAGAGAGACCAGTCACAACAGAAGACAATAGAAGAAATCTTTGATTCTCCCCTTGGCTTCCATAGTGACTCTACTCACATCAGCTTATGAACAAAATTTTGCAGATTTGCACTGTGCGTTTGAAGCATCTTCCCATGCAAAAACGTGCAGGGAATCTTTTTTTCCTTTTTGAGTATGGGGAGATTTCTAACAGAGGGCGACTTCTGAGAACTTTTTAAAATGCAAATTGCTGTGCTCTGCTGTGCAAATTGCAGCAGAAATCATACTGATAGACAAGGTTTGCCATGTCTTTTGGACCCTATCAAACAATGGTGAAGAGGTCCGGACACAAGTAGAGATGCATTCGATGTAACACAGGAACGTTTATGCAAAAGAAAATTTAAAAAGGAAAAAATGAGCTGCATGAGCTGGAATCGAACTCTGTTGTTCATGCTTCAGAAGAAACAGCTGCGAGGAATATCCCTTTGGCTACAAGTCGCTTTGTTTAGTCTCTCTTTCCCATATTTTGGGAAGTTAGTAATTTTTGTGAATGATACTTTTCTTTTTCAAGAATTAGCAGCTGTAGAAGCTCAGCACATCCCCTGTATTTATATAAACACCCCTCCTTCATCAAACCCTCAGCAGACATGGGGATTTTGGCACTTTTCTCCATATAGGAGCTCTGAGTTGCCAGAAATCTGGCTCCAAATCCAGAGGGTGGGGAGCACAAGAGGCATGAATGGGTGGACGAATGACAAATGCTCAAGGTGGAAAGGATCTGTGAACATTGGCTCACTGCTCGTCTCATGACCCGTTCCAAGGGCATGCTTGCATGTCTTGAGAGCAGAAGAGGAAATGTCACACATCCCTAGATGCCTACATTTGGTGCATGACCGAAAAGTGTCTCCGACGTCTGAGCTGCATCGCTAATCTATTTTCCATTGCAAGAAAGAGCTGGACGAAACCTTTTTCTAGTCCTTGAGCAGAGGGATAAAAGAACACACGCATCCCTGTAAGGAAAGAGACCCTATACTGCAAGCAAGAACAAAGGAAAGAAAAACCAGTATTTCCCACTAGTGCATGCTGTGGTAGGCACAGAATTCTGTGACTTCCACAGCATCACTTAGCTGATAAAATACTGTCAAACTGAGTCTAAGTTCAAATCTCCAAAGGAGGAAGAGAGCCTAGAGAAAAGCAGAAACATGAAGCATTCTTGGAAAGGAGTCATCCTGACCTGCTTCAGCCATGGTCCCGTATCACAGACTTCCACTTTGAACTAAGGTCTGCTCCATGCATTGCACATGGGCCAACCTGGGTTGCCAACAAATGCAGCTTCAGTGATGAACCAAGGTTGCCTATCTGCTACAGGTGGTTCCTATTTTGGGACCACCACTGCAAGCCGCCCCCTTCAAGAAAAAAACAGATGTGCCCTTGAAACACGTAACTCATGAAGAGGCAACAAGGTCTAAAAGGCTGTTCTCAGGAACTCAGTTTGCTCTTTCAAGACTCCAGAGACATTACTGAGTAATGGGAAGAGTATGTGAGGGAGACCAGATTATCAGTCTAGCCAGAAGCTCTCCCTCACTCACCTTTGAGCTTTTCTTAGGGGAAGGAAGTCAAGAAGCCTAGAATTCAATGACCAGAGACCAGTGCTGAAATACTTTGCGCTTGGTAAATCCTTAAGGTGGATATTGATGGCTGATGCTAGCAAACCTGCCGACTGTGATATGGTGACACCACGGAGAAGACTAGGACAATCAGACAAGCCAAAGATGTGCAGAAACTGTTCTGAAAGCAGCGCTCTAGAGGCCCAGAGCCGTGGGGTCAATCCTATGCCAGGTTCTTGTTGCATAAAAAGACTGTGGATGGCAGAGTGAGGAAGGCGAGTGCTTTCACATGGTATCTCCGTAGCAGTTCTGAAAGCAGGCTTCCCTCCAGATCGAACTACTATTGAAACTCACCTAGGCAGCAATTAACATCCAGCACTGGATGCTGTCAGCCTCCCTCGGAAAATCCTTAACTTGTGTACCGAAGGATAATGCCAATCCTGCCACAGAATGGAAAAGACTTTACAAAGACTTTCTGGCAATGATGCAGGATCTCATTTTGTCAAATGTGGGAATGGCCGCTTTTTATAAAAAAGGTTTCTTTCCTTTTTTAAAAAAAATATTTTTACAAAAACATCTCACCCCTCCCTTGTTATCTACAAGACCCCCAGAAGTGCCCTGATATTTACATACAGATAAATAAAATCCATCCTCTGAAAAGAGTTTAAAAAGCAGGCTAAAATCAGAGAAATTCCAGGCTCTGCTGAAAACATGGCCTCTGGGTGGAACAGGTCTCCAAACGGCAAGACCAAATTTCAGCATGAGCCTGCACAGTGTCCTGCCGCTCATCAGGGGCTTCCTCACTGCTAGAAAATGGCATTTAGTGGTTGCTCAGGCTCGTGTCCACTGCAGAAGTGACACGGCGGCCGCCTTCCCTGTGATTCAAATGAGAAACGTGCCATTCGGGGAGGGGGGTGTCTTGTTTCCCAGCAGCGCCGCACTCTGACCCGGCTGCTGAACAAATTTGGACTCTTCTGCCCCAAAGGAGTGGGAATCCAATGGGGGGCGGTAGCTCGGAGGAAGGCTCCGTGACGGGACCAGCAAGGCCCTCTGCAGGGTCTAAGGTGGTCTGTGCAGTGGCCACCCCTGAGCGGCAGTTGTCAGTTCAAGCATTGCAAAAGGTAGCTATCTTTTGATTTCCAACACCTGGGTGAGCCACATCTCCCATACTGCCATACTGAAAAGCCAAGACTGAAATCTCCTTTTAAAAACAAAATCTTCCCCCATCAGAGTTAGCAGACACCCACCAAATGAGAAGAAAAGGGAGAGAGCGAAATTGTGTGTTCAGTTCTTAAAGGCATGCTATTTTCTTCATGGGCACACATGCTTCCTGAAGAGGCTCAGGGTGTGTGTGTGTGTGTGTGTGGCATATTTCTTGCCACTTGTCAGGTCACTGTAGTCCTGCAAGCATAAGCATGTGGAAAAATCAAATTGGAATTACTTTTGTATACAACATTTTGAATGCACATCAAATGCTACATGGCAAATACCCTTCCTCGTACAGAAAGATCGCGATGAATTCCTGGCTTGAAAAAGCAATGGAACGACAGTTCTACCATACTCATTTTTCCTATTTTGTGCAGATGCTCCCCACATGTGTTAGAAATTGAATTTGCCAATCTAGATCACTGGCTGTCCAACTGTAATTCTGCAGATACACGGGTTTCTTGGAAATCTGCCCAGGGTTCCTCAGCAGGGAGCTCATGAACGGCTTTCCCAAATCCAGTTCACCCACTACTAACAAAATTCTCCTGCAATCTCTAGGAAAGTGCTGGGGACACATTCTAGGGTGCAACTTGAGTGCACCCCAGTGCTCTTTGGGTGATCCCCAGCTAGTCTTTTTGCAAAAATCCTCTGTGTAGCCCAGAATCCTCTGGAATACCCGAAGAGGCTGTAGCAAATACAACAATGGAGGTGGTTCCCGGAGAGAAGAACGTTTGAAAGCCACTGATCTAGATTAGCAGCTGCCAAGTTTTATGGCACTTCTACACATTTCAATTTAAAGAATCCCATCCCAAGTTGCAGCTTGGCATTCAAGGGAGACTAGTTGACACAGGTCTTCTTCCATGAGCCCACAGAGTATGTGAAGTCTGTGGTTGTTAGGAAAGGATGCAATCCAGGGAAAGGAACCTCCTCATTTCAACTAATTCCAAGTGTCTGGTGGTACTTGCAGAGGTGAAAGTAAAGGGGGGAAAGGAGCTGGTGCGACAGTGTGAACACAGCTTGTATCATGGTCCGACCTATTCACTTCTTCAGAAATAACAGCCAAGGCCTACCATCCAGCTAAAGGACCCTGCACAAGAAATGCGAGGCTTTCGTTACAGAGAGCTGCCCTTGCTCCTATTTCTGTGCATTCTACATAGTTGTGTGGAAGGGAAAACGCAAGTGTTCAACATGGGCTTTCCTAGACCGAGAGAAGAAACGGTTCGACCGTGTTCACAGGCACGTGAGCTCCCTGCATGGAGGGCACCTTCCCAGGATCCTGGGGTTGGACTTTACGCTCGTGCCACAACCAGCTTCCCATGCAGGATCATGTCCCTTTGCTCAGGGTTTCCCCTGTGCTGCATGCTGACACCATCAGTGTATTAGCGAGACTATCTGAGGGACAAGATACCCTTACTCACTCCACTGTGAACGTTCTTCAAATTTATAAATTCCTCTCACTTCTTTTAATGTCACAGTTACCATAATAGATCATCACTGGGGGGAAAAATGAAATAACGCAGCTGATAAACCCAGGCTAATATTTTATAATATATATATATATAAAATTATATATATTTATATATATTTATAATTCCCCACCCATATGAAAGTCTGTAAAAGTCGGTGCTGCAGTGTGAAAGCTTCTTTGAGCAGAAGAGCTTAAACAATGTTACCTCACTGTTAAAAAAAATGAAGAGAGAAACAAAGAACCTAAACAGCTGTAGGTGCATTATTATCCCGTATTTCTACAGTGTTGTGTCTAAATGTTGTGCTGCCGTGTAAAAAGGAACTGGTATGCAAGTCATTCATGTCTTCAAATACTGCTCAAAATTCTACCATTGTCACTGGTTCGTTTCCAAGGCTGTGCTGTCCTCTTCCCCTTTGAGCTTCCCTTTTTCCTCCTCTTCCTCTTTAATGGCCTCGATTTGTTCAGAGGGTTGGTGCAACATGGCCGGCTGCTCCGGAGCTTGCTTTTCTGTCCCAGCTCGCCGCTCCTCCTCCTCAATGACTTTCTTCCACATTTGATGGTTCTCAAGCAGGTGCTGAGTGATCTGGCAGTAGATTTTCCTCCTCTTCTTTCCTGTAAATCCCACAAGCAAAGGGACGCGTGAAACCTGCAATCCTACGGACAGGTACCACGGAGCAAGGTTTAAAGACCCAGCAGGGCTAACTTCCGAGTGAAACATGCTACAGGTCTGCATCACCCCACTGGAAAAGGAGCAGTTTTGGGTCATGCTAAGAGTTCTCTCTTTCAGGAATGGTGCAGCTGCGTCTTCTGATGGGGACAATCCAAGCTGAAGGGGTCAACTGCCCACTGCAAAAGACTTTTAAGGCTTTCAGGTGCAAATGAATTAGGGAGGAGGTACACTATGGTCTGGACAGTTCTTGGACCAGTGGCACACAGCTTAGAGCCTGGTTACTGGAACGAGCGTCTCTTCCCATATGTGCCTGCCCACCCCTTAAGATCTGGGGCAGACGCCCTTCTCCAGGTGCCCTCCCTGAAGGAGATTAGGAGGGGACTCCCTGGAGAAGGGCCTTTTCCGCAGTGGCACCCCAATTGTGGAATTGGCTCCCCGGAGAGGTTCGCCTGTTGCCATCACTTTATTCATTTCGGAGCCGGGCCAAAACCTTTTTATTTTCCCAGTGTTTTAAGACCTGATTATTTAATTGGGGTTTTATTGTTAGTTGAATTTTTAGGTCGCTGTGTTTTATTTTCAGCACTTTGTAGCGTTAAACCATCCTGAGACTTCGGTAGTGGGACAGGCTAGAAAAGTTTTAAATAAATAAATACATCTTCTTATGGGGCTGTTCCACATGGAGATATGTATGGGAATGGCTGCTCCCTTAGCATGGCCCCCTCCCACCCTCATGGTCTGAAGAAGAAGCATCGCGAAATGGGGCCATTGCTTGGACTGGCCTCCAGAGGGAGCGCCCATTCTTCCAGGCACACGGAGGGAGAGCATGACATGCACCTCAGGCATGTGTTGGGCTTCTACTCCCAACAGCCCCTAACAGCATGACAAAGGTCAGGAATGGCGGGAGCTGTCGTCCAGAACATCCGGAAGGCACCAGGTTGGGGAATGACAGGGTCCCAGCCGTCCATTAACCACTGGTCTGCTTCAGTACGATGCGTCTTCCAACGTTTGTGAGCAGCATCCCTGGGGGCTCAAACGTCGGAGAGGGTTCAATCCTGCAAACGGAACACTGGAAGTGGGAGAAACGGTCCTAGCCACATTCTAGGCGGATTTTCCCTGTGTCAGGATTTTGCTGTTGGTTGGTTGGCTTTTGCGCTCACGTAGACAACTCCCCATCTGCACTTAGAAGAGGAACAGCCCAGACACAGGTCGAAACCAAAACACAGGCGACGTTCTGCGATGCTAAGGCGAGTCTGAGTGAGGTTGCCATTTCATAATCCAAAGCTACCATTCCTTGTTAGAAGGAAAACTTGCTTTTTTCCCTCTTGCAAGAAACCTGTGACAGTGTAAGTTTTCCTCCTTCCCTGCAGCATTATCCCTGCAGCAACAACCCCGTGAGGTAAGTGAGGCTGAGGGCCTGTGACTGGCCCAAAGTCACCCCCCTGCCCCCGTGGAGCCCCCAATGTGCTAAGCGGATGCGGCAGGTACTGAAGAAGTCACTTAAATTCTGCCCCCTTCCAGCTTCTCTCACGTCCCATTCTTAGCCAGCACCTGCTAACGGGAACGATAACCCTCTTCAGAAGTTTTAATGAAGAGGGGGGGGGGGGGGGGGGGGGGATGGAGAAAGTGATGCAGAAGAATGTTTTGTCCCCAAGAAATTTGTTGCACAGATTAGCATTTCCAGGTGCCTAAAGTAAGTGTGTGCCGAGAGCCAAAATGTTTAGTCCTTCAAGCTTTTCAACTGCAAACAAAGGGCTTTTCACTGTGGCACAGTTCAAATCCAGCTCAATCCTTCATTAGAAAGATTTCAGTTCCCCGTAGGAACCCTTCAGGTTTAATCAGAAGAAATCTCTATTCCACACTAGCACTTCATGACAGAACATTCTCTCCCTGGTCTCCTGGGAGATGCCCCCTCCCCAAACCTGCCATTCTCCTGAGAGGTCATTAGAGCACTGATCACAGCTTGACATGTGGCTGAAAAGCACCACAAGCTGCATCGGGGTAACCACTGTGTATGCATGCGCTGCATTTGGGCTGCATGGTCCTCCGGGGGTGTCCAGAAATGAGAGACTCATGATGCGACTGCAGTGCCTGACAACCAGGGACGGACCCTGTTTTCTTATTGTCTTTTGGAGGTGCCACACTGATACTTTATTAGTACACATTGCTAGGATTTGTTTATTATTAAAATTCTCTCTCTCCTTTCCCCCCTCTTGCTTTCATGGTGGCACAGACAGTCCTCTAATTTGCCCTGGCAGTGCCCTGCTTGGCAAGGTAGGCTGAGGAGTCAGAACCTGGCCCAAAGTCACCCAGTGAGCTTAAGGCAGAGCGAGGACTAGAACCCGGGTCTCCCAGCTCCCTGGTGCAGTGGTGAGCCGCTCTCCAGAGACCAGCTTCTTACCCAGCTAACAATTCTGGGCAGCGTGTGCGGTTACCTGAAGGAGCACTTACATCCATATATGCCCAGCCGCCCCCTGAGATCGGCGGGAGAGGCCCTTCTCTGGGAGCCCTCCGTGAAAGAAATTAGGAGGGTGGCTACTCGGAGGAGGGCTTTCTCAGCGGTGGTGCCCAACCTATGGAATGCGCTCCCCAGAGAGGTCCGCCTGGCGCCGTCGTTATTTGTTTTTCGGCGCTAGGCGAAGACCTTTTTATTCAAGCAGCATTTTAAATGTTAATATTATTGAATTTTTCTGGCCAGGGCGGCTTATTTTATATTGTATATTTGTAATTTATTTGAATGTATATATTTTAAAATGTTATTTAACTTACTTGTTGTAAGCCGCCCCGAGGCTTCAGCGAATGGGGTGGCATAAAAATATTTTAATAAATAAATAAATAAATAAATATCCATGGACACTGAGGCAGGAGGCCACGAAGTCCATTTTGAACTGCAGTTATCTGTTTTTCACATGCATCGTTAACCAAGGGAGAGTAGCAAATGGAAGACGCATCAACAAGACAGAGGAACTGAAGGAAGGTGGTCTGGTCCCTGCTCATGGAGGGTACGGTGCAGAGGCTCAGCACCCTTACAAACCAGGCAGGAGCAGCTGTGCTCCTGGAAGCTGTGCGTGCTTGTCATCCTGTCCTTTGCCAGGCCCCATGGCAATGGATGTACTACAACAGGGTTAGACAGCTCTGTAGTCAGAGGGGGAGCTGACAGCTCACTTGGGTTTGCCCTAATTCCTGCCTTGTTCCAACCCAAGAATCGGAGGTGAGCTGAATTGGGGCAGGGTGTGTGTGTGAGAGCAAACTTCCATCTCCAAGATGGACTGTGATTTGTACATTTTTAAAAACCACATGAAATTTGCACAAATAAGCGCCTGGAATCCAGATGGCTCTAGGATTTGCTCATTTGCACAAATCATAATTTTTTAGACCTTGGCCTTGCACTGTTTTCCTGATTAAAACCCCCACCTGAATTGTATGTGCCCAGATGTTTATCCCTTTGGGGCATGTAGCAGCTTGAGCGGCGTGTGGGAAAGAAAGAAAGGGCCCATCAGCAGTTCTGAACACAAATGACTGAATAAACAAACAAACAAATGATCGCCCTATTCATCCTGCTAACTTTGAAAGAACGCAAGTGCGCACAGCATACTTGATTCGGGGTTTTCACAGGTGTCCATGTCTGCTGAGTCTTCGCCATCCTGTTCGTCTGTATCCCCAGACTCATCACTATCTTCAATCCACTTCCCCGGCATCAGCCCTGCCGAGTCGTAGGAATTACACAGGGGCCCCACGATGTGCGTGATGAATGATTCCTGGAGGTTTGCCAACTGAGGAGCAGAACGATCCATGAAGGGGCTGATCGGGAGGCCCAAACTGGCTTCTTCGTCCCCCTGCAAAATCAAGAGAAACTGTATTATACTCTCATCTGTACTGCTAGCCTGTCCGTTTCCAGGAACGATTCCAAGTGCTGGGATTAACCTTTCCACTGAAGCCCTAAATGATGCGGGACTAGTTTGCCGGAGGGATCGTCACCTTCCATCTTCGGCAGCCCAGATCTTAAGCTCTTCTTCACAAGCCATCCTTCCAGCAAGGATGCCTCCTCCAAGGACTCACGACTGTGCAAAAAGTGAGTGGGTAATGAGGCAGGGGCAGGGCAGAGGCGACCCACCCACTGCTTTACAGAGTCCAGGGCAAATTGTCCCAGCCACACCCGCCACCCTGGACAGGCCTGTCTACAACCTGCCCCTCCAAATGAGGTGAAGGTAGTTGCCACCAAGGAAAGGGACTTTTCAGTGGTGGCACCCTTGCTGTGGAATGCTTTTCTGGCGCCTACACTGTGGTTTACTTGGCGCCTGCTGAAAACCTTGGGTAGTATCCAACTCCGCCTGTACACTAGCACTAATCGTACTGTACCATTATAGTCCAATCCTCATGCATTGTAGCCAGCACTCGTTAGTGGCAATGTGCTGTCAAAATTCAGCAGCATCACTGGATTTTGGGGGCAAAACACTGCTTTTGCCTATTGCCCTAGTAAGAGCTGGTTCCATTATGCGACTGAAGGATTACATGGGCAAAAGCTCATTAGAACTTGCTGTGTAGCAAAGTTGACTACCACTCCTTATTTTAGCAAGCTTTTTTTAGTTTTGGACTTTTAAAAGTTCTTTGTATGATTTTTTTCCCCCACGTTGGCTCATCTGAGTACATCGGATTTCTTGTCCCACTTCCAATTTGCTTGGAAGTGAGCGAAGTTTAGTATTTTGTATCTGTAACATGGACTGCTATTTGCGTACGTTTTTCAAACTTCCCAAAGGATTCTCACAAACTTGCACTGGGAAAGCATGTGACTTTAATACAACTTGTATTATTTGCACAAATAGGGCCAAGTCACATGTTCTGCCGTTATCGCTCAAAATCAGCCCCCAAGAAACTACAGGCCTAAGTGCCGTTTACACAAATTGTGCCAAATCATATCTTTTGAGGTGTTCTTTTCTGGAAAAATGGCTGGGCTTTGCACAAAACAGCACCTGACAAACATGTGGCTCAGCACCATCTGGACAAACAGCACTAGTCATGAGCACTCCTGGTTCCAGTTTGCAAAAACTCTCTTGGCAGTCTGAAAGAAGTATGCAAGCAGGTTCAACCTGCACTGCACCTAGCTGGCACCAGTGCATTCAGTGAAAACTGGAATCTGGTAGGCCAAACTGAGGAAATGCATGGATTTTCATTTCCCACACAGATTCCTCACCTACTTTGTTACATCTTTCCACATGCATGAGGCCTCTGAGAGTAGGCGATACAGCCATCATGGCTAGCAGCCACTGACAGACATTTCCATGAATATGTCTAGTTCCTTTGCAAAACAAAACTAGTGCCCACCACCACATCTTGTGGCAGGAAGGTCCACGGTTCAACTATGCACTCTAGGAAGAAGTAACTGCTGTTATCACACTGGGTCCTCCGTTAATCCGTAGGCATCTTTGTAACGGGTTGCTAATAGCTGGAAACTGCTTTGGGGGTTACCTTTGTCTGGAAAGCAGGATGCAAATCTAATAAATAAGCAAGGATTGCAAAGAATCTGTTACCTATCCATGAGAAATGCCTGAGCATTCCCAACTGAAATATATGCAAAGTGTGTGTTGCCCTGCACTACTATTTAATGTAACAGCGATACATTTTCTACAAATGTTGACAATTGCTATTGCGTTCTTCAATACGGCTTGCTAGAATCAGCTGTCTTTATTATGATTAAGAATAATACCTTTGAGAAAATGTTTTTGACATTCATGGAAGTTACTAGCTTACTAAAAGAGGCTGTGGGTCTATTCTGTCAGTGCCATAATGCCAAGACCATCAACCTAGACATCTGAAACTGGGCATGCATATTAAGGGAACCAAGGGGTGAGCATCTCGGGATTAATGAATGCAACAGAACTGAATCAATTTCATCCACCAAGCGAAAGACTGTCCTGAGAACTTGCGTAGTGTTGGACTCAGCACAGTCTGAAGCGTTGGACTCAGCACAGTCTGTGTGTGGCCCCCTCCCCACTGATGTGGGGCAGCTCCTCTGGGGAATGGAGTGGAGAAAACCTTCTCCCAGGGTTGGGGCGCCCCATGAGGAAGACCATGCAAAGAGGGCAGTAGGACAAATGGAATGAGTGCAACTCTGGCAGCTGCAATAGCTTCCTTGGAGGCCTTGCCATTTCAGACTAAGGCCTATTCCATCCCGGGCAAAAGAGGGTCTGTTTGCAGGCTGAACCTAAACTACTGCAATGAAAGCATGCTGATGACTCAAAAGCGTGATGATCCTCTGCTTCTTCTTGCAATGATGACTATTTACCTGCTCGTAAAATTCATTGACGATGCCCTCCGTCCACTGAAGATGCAGGTCTTTGCATTTTGCTGGCCCATTGATGTCAGCAAGCTTGATGCACATCTGACAGACCAGCAAGCGGTCGTTCTCATTCGTCCAATCAATGCCAACGTCGTCGTTCACCTGGCAGACACACATCATTAGAGTGACTGGTCCGGTACTAACTGGAGTCGTGCACGACACAAGACACGTCAAGAGGAGGATGTAATGTAGAGCGCACACAAAATCTTAGCTCACTCTGTATTTCTTTTATGGGCAGTCCCCAAGTTACAAACAATTCTGTTCCTGAGAAAATGGCAATTTGTCTTTAAGCTGAATTTGCAACTTATGTGTAGTTGGCCCTCCACATCTGTGGGGTTGAGGGCACAAAACCCCCATGAAAGTGGAAATTACTTTTAGAAAACCAAAATTTCTCTAGTGCCCCCGCCCCCTGCTACCCAAACTCATCAGGGCCTCCTCTTTGCTGAAAATTTCCCTCTCTGGATGGAAGGGGCAGGAAGGCTGGCTTTGGAATCTTCCCTCTTTCCCCTTTTGCTTCCTCTCTATGGTGATGCTTTGAAGGCCTCTCTACCCTTCCACTTCCTTTCTCTCTATGGTGCATGCTTTGGAGCGCTTCCCTCTCTCCACCTTCACTTCCTCTCTCTCTGTATGGTGTTGACATTTAACACAGTAATCTTTTCAAATTAATAGGCTTTATGGCAGTTCGTTCATACGTATGGGTTGTTTGCAACTCAGACATTCAGAACTCGAGAACTTCCTCTATTATTTGATTATAGTTATTCTATTATTGCTATTTCCTTTATACACATGCTGTTCTATTTCTTTATACATATATTTAAACTTGAACGCCATCTTCACTGAGGCTCGTCTGGCTCCCAATTTCTGCACCTCTCGCACTCCACTTGCCATTTTGTAAAGAGGGCGCCTTGGCCTTGACTGCCTGGAAACTTTGGGACGGTCTCTCTCTCTGTAGCATGAACATGCTGGCTAACCTCCGGTTTGGGCTGGGGCAACAGATCCCATCCCTGCCACCAAGTAGCCCAATGCCCAGATGTGCAAAAGCCACATCTGAAAACCCGTCTACCAGGGTGTTGGAAATCCTGCCCATTCCAGTGGTCAGTTTTCTGTGACCATCTCTCTTTGCTAAACCAGGTTCAATGTCCACAGCACCAAGCGGGTTCTTCTCGGTCTTTAATTATTCCTTCTGGCCTGCTTGATAATCCCAGGACTCCGAGGGTCAGCGTCCTTCTCTGGGGCCAAACTGCAACATGATGCTGATTATGTCATTTGTGACCATCGCTGCCCAATCAGCTTTGGGTCCGCAACATGTCCTTCACCTCGCCTACCATGGCCCCAACAGAACACCCCAGTAGCCCTACTACCATGCTTCCCCGAAAATAAGACCTACTCCGAAAATAAGACCTAGCTGTGTTTATTCCCAGGGCCAGTGGGGAACACACAGAGCCTTTTTAAACTTTATTTTTTAACTTAACTTTAATTTAATGCACTGTGTGGAGGAAACATGCTTCCTCTATAGCTTCCTCTATAGCGCCGGCTCCTGACACAGGCGGAGTGATACCAAATGTACCAAATGTACATGTATTCATGCTGTTGTACAGGAATAAGTGTGAATTGTTGTACACTTTAAAATATAAAATAAAAAAATAAGACCTACCCCAAAAATAAGACCTAGTGTGTTTTTGTGAGCCAAAAAAATATAAGACAGTGTCTTATTTTTGGGGAAACACGTTATTAGCTTTGGACCACTGAGTAGCTTGCCCCAGCGCACTGTGCTTGCAATATCACAAGGCTAAGCTGCTATACTCCAGAACCTACCCATTTTGGACACCACTAAGGCAGTGGTGCCTTCCTCTCCATGTTCCCCTCCTGCCCCTTGAGATCCGAGGTGGAAGCCCTCCTCCAGGAGCCCTCCTTGAAGGAGATCAGGAGAGTGGCTACGGGAGGCGGGCCTTCTCTGTGGTAGCGCCCCATCTATGGAATACACTCCCCAGAGAGGCTTGCCTGGTGCCGACACTTTCTTTTTGGCGTCCGGTCAAAACCTTTTTATTTTCCCATTATTTTAATGTTTAGCTGGATTTCACTGGGGTTTTAATCTTGACTGTTGGATGCTGTGTCTGTTTTGTAATTTTATTTGCTTCCTATTGTAAGCCATCCAGAGATGCCAGTGGTGGACAGGGTACAAAAGTTTTTAAAAAACTGAGCTGACCTTAGCATTGAATTTAGCTACAAAGTCAAAGTGCTTCTTCAGATCAGTGGCCAAAATTGCCTCAATGACAAGGAACCGAAAGTGCTTGAACTCCACGTGATCAAGGTGGACCAAGAAGTTATATTCTGGCCTGGACATGAAAAGGTTCCAAGCAGCAGCGGCATGATGGTTTTCCAAAACAGAGCGGTCATTATACAAAACAGCCTAAACAAAGAGAAAGAGAAATTATACAGTTAAGGAGAAAGAGCAAGCATGTCTCTTGTAGGTATACAAAAGATAGCTCTTTGGTGCATTTTGAATGGTGGTATTCTGCAAGCCAGCATTCTGCAGTAAAATGTTAAAATTTCAGAGACCCCTCAAGTATTCAACCATATAGCTGCAACCATAAGGGCTAGGAACTTGTTTTAAAGTAGGGGTTGGGAACCTCAGGTCCGTGTACCATATCTGGCTCTCTCCTTGCTCTGGCCCTCTGCATTTCTCAAGATGGCCACACCAATAAGCTCGTATTTTATTGGTTTCATTTTGGTCCGAAATGCACCCCTTGCCTTTCATTTCACGCACCACTGGATTATGTCCCCCAAGAGCTTCACCAAAAAAGAATTAGGCCACCAGGCTGGAGAGATCCCAGCATGCTAGAACTTTGTGCCAAAGCCTCTTGTTGCAGAATTGTGCAATCCACACATCCAAATTTTTCAGGTAGGCCTGCAAACTTGGGACTCCATAAAGCCAAAAAGAAGATGCCACCAGCCAAGTACTGGACTTGCCAGGTGCTTCCGGATCCCTGTTTCTGCGATCCCAGACACAGGGCAAAACCAGTTTTATTAAGGCCTTAGTGGAGCGACATAAATGGCTCGATGATCCTTTGGCCTTTGTGGGTGACAAGCTCTGCAGCTCTTCTATTCCCCGTGGAGGAGCAGCGGGAGCCGGCAGATCCAGCCTGCCTTACCTGAGGAGCGCTGGTTGCCACCAGGAAGGCATTGGTTCTTCCTGGGTGATCATAATCGTGCATGGCAGCAGCTACATAAAGCGCCATCAGTTCAAGGGCGGGGATGTTGCCGGCCAAGCATCCATAGCTGTCATCTGCTGGTGCGTACGTCTTCGAGAAGACATATCCCAAGTGGCCGTGAGTGATCCCGCTATCAGAATCTGGGCAGAAAAGCAGGTCAGTTGCTGAAAGTGGGTCATGCAGAAGAGGCGCAACGTGCCTTTAGGTCTGGGCCAAGCACTCTGCCATAGCTCTTGGAAAATGCCTTCACGGGCTTGATCAAAGGCGTGCGACGAATTGCACGTGGGCACCAGTGTGGCCCCGCTGGACACGAAGGCCGGGACAGAACCTTCCGGGATCCATCCCCCCAGAACCTGCAGACTTCCTCTCATGTTTGGCCCGGTCCTGCAAAGAGCTGAGCAAAGAGGGGCTCTGCAGATGCTGTCAGAGCCCGGGGTTCATGCCCGGCAACTTTCTCCAGCCTCCATTTGCAGGGACAACCTTTCCCTGCTGGCTGCAGCGTCACACAGAGGACAGATGCTGCTTGCATGAGGCCCGAGACACGACTCCCGGTGAGCGCCAGAGGGACCTGCGCATGCTTGCCAGGAGCTGGGCTGCTGCAGCGTGGACTGAAGCCCAAGAATCGGAACCCAGGGAATCTGGCAGATTTTCCACAAACCGGATTCCTTGCACATCCCTTGTCTAGGCGCTGTCGCATCACTTCGTGTAGTAATTACACTTTTACGAGCACAGCAAGTTATACATAATGCATTTTATGTCTTTAAACTGAAGTGATTTGGATTCGTAAAGTGCACAGCATCACAAATTATTTGATTGTCCAAAGGTTTCTTGGAGTTTTGCTGGGAAATGCAATGCCTCTCCTGATGTTTCTTGCATGGTTCCAAACTGTCTGGAAATGCTACATCTCTACACTGAGCCAAGACATGGGGAATGGCCTTACCTGAATCACTCGTGGACCCATGGTCATTAATCACAGTTGAGAGGCCAGGAATAGGCTGGGTCGAAAGGTACCACACGGCATGGAGCACATCAGTAGCATGGATCCTGTTGTGATCTGTTAAGACAGAGGCAGGTTACAGGCAGGGGCAGAGGCAGGCATCCAGGAGGCTGAATGGGTGGGTGCAACAGCGCCACCTGCTGGACACAGAGAAGAACCCATTCCTCGTTCCAAACCCAGAACTTTCCCAGGAACGGAAGTGAACTGCTGCATTTGTGAGAATATACATATGCATTTGTTGTTTTCGTAGTTGTATGGGCCCATCAGAAAATTATCCTAAATATTCCAGGATGAAGTTGGGGAGGGGATGGGGGACTTAAGAATGTAAGACAAGCCCTGCCGGATCAGACCCAAGGGCCAGTTCATACATGTGGTGGCCACCCAGCTGCCCACAGGATCCCTCCAGCAGGATGGGTGCAAGGCCTCCTCCTGCCTGGATCCTCAGCTCCCTCTGGGAAAGAAGGTGACACACAGCCAGCAAGGCTAGTAGCCTCTCACAGCCTCGTCCCTCATGGATCTGTCCAATCCCTTTTTGAAGCCATCATGATTGGCGGCCATCACCGCTTCCCATGGCAGCGAATTCCACCGTTTAACTGTATGGCATGTGGCCAAGTCCTTCCCTTTATCTGTCCTCAGCCCCCTACCCATCAGCTTCATGGGGTGGCTCCTTTGGGTTCGAGTGCTGCATGCAAGTTATAGATACTTCCAACCCACGGGAAGACCGGTCATTTCTGCAGCACGCAAAATTCAGAGTGCATGAGAGGAAGGGAAGAGTGTTGTCAAGGTTGAGGGACTGGCAAGACTGTCTTTATGTTATCCACTGATTTGCAGCATGATCCTACTCAGTGTAAAGAGGCTTTGGCTATTTGGTTTCCCAGCTCTGACCTCAGGAACTTGCTCCACAGTGGAAGCTGGAATGCCAAACTTGGCCTGCTGTCCCTCGCCACTGGCACGGAAAGAACTCCACTAGCTCCTTTCCTGAGGTCGAGGGACGAATTCTGTGGGTGGAAGGGAAGGGAAAAAAGCGTCCCATGATGCACGCTATCTGGGGGCACCTCAACCGCCTTTCCTTGATGCTCCAAGACACGACACGGAGCCAATGTCAGCTATAAGATGCAGTCCAGGGGTGCTCCTTGATCCAGAGCTGTCCCTGGACTCTCAGGTGGCAGCGGTGGCAAGGATCACTTTCCTTCAACTACACCTGATCCACCAACTGCGCCCTTACCTGGATGAACATTGCCTGGCAATGGTGACCCATGCTCTGGTAACTTCCCAAATGGATTACTGTAACACGCTCTATGTGGGGCTGCCCTCGAAGACAGTCCAGCTATTTCAGTTGGTCCAGAAGAGAGCTGCCGGGATGTTAACGGGGACTGGCCAGTATGCCCATATAAAACCGGTCCTCTATCAGTTACACTGGCTGCTAATTGACATCTGGGCCCAAGTTAAGGTGCTGGTGGAGACCTACAAAGCCCTAAATGGCTTGGGTCCAGGACACCTGAAGGGGCACCTTCTTCCCTTTGTGCCTTCCTGCCCCTTGAGATCTGAGGCAGAGGTCCTTCTCCGGGAGCCCTCCTTGAAGGAGATCAGGAGGGTGACTACCTGGAGGAGGGCCTTCTCTGTGGTGGCGCCCCATCTATGAATACACTCCTCAGATTGGTTTGCCTGGTGCCAACGCTTTATTGTTTTCAGCGTCAGGTGAAACCCTCTTTATTTTCCCATTATTTTAATGTGTAGTTTGTTTCAACTGGGGTTTTTATCTTGATTTGCTGCATGCTGTGTTTGTTTTGCTATTTTATTGTTCCTTATTGTAAGCCATCCCGAGACGTCAGAGGTGGACAGAGCACAAAAGACTTAAATAAATAAATAAAAACCATGCTGTTTTGCAGGGGAGAAAGAGCAAAGAGCTGCCCTTCACTTCACGATGCCCTGCCCTGCAGAGGACGCTTGCAGTCCTATGCCTTCAGGGGATTATGGGCATCCGGATAGTTTTGAACCCTTAGGTATTTCTATACTACCTTCCTGAGGCCCTCTCAAAGTGTTTCATAATTCAAAGCATAAAATTTAAAACATAAGATGTAAAATGTAAGATATAACACATACTGTAGACGTAACAGCAGCACTCAATATGATGAACCAACACTGTATTTGGTTAAAAGTGGACTGGAGTAGCCAAGTCTGTAAGGCGCATTTAAACACAGGCAGAGGCGATGCTCATGTACATCCCATGAGTAGCGACGGACCGACGAGTGTATGTTTCATGTATGCTGAATCCTTCGCCCATCCCATCCCATCCCATCCCATCCCATCTCATTTTCTGCAATTTACATTTTTAAATGCCCAAAGTGCAACTGAAAGCTTTTGCATTTTCTCCTGGCAAATGCATTCTTCACTTTTTTCTTTTTGAGATGAGAATGCCATCACGGACCTTGGGGATGCGTGCCACCCAAAATTTAAGCGCATTCTGATGTGCGTATTAGTTGAGGAAGTGCGGCTCAGGGTGGCTCACTTTAAAATACTGACTGAATGCACTTCATCTTCACTCCCAACTACAGGATGGCTTTTTCAGGGAAGGGGCCAGTGCAGAAAAGGCCCTGTGCTGGTCCAAACGGACAGATCAATTGTGAGTCCCTCAGCAGGACCTCTGTCAGCAACTGCACCAGCTCATGGCCAGCTCAGGATTTCATCTGACTTCAGTTTTGTCTAGTTAACCATCCACCAAATCATTTATCACAAAATTAACTGGCGCCAATCTTTCTGGATACCAGACTGCGACCTCTGATTGGCAAATACCTTTAAATCTGCCACTGGAGCGGAGGGGAAGTGAGCATCGGTGGAGACCACCCCTTCTGCATCTGCAGGGCCCCAGAGCCGGGCTTCTGAATGACCCTATGCCCACCCCCTCGAGGATGGAGGTGACCCCTAGGATTGCGCTTCCACGCTGTGCATTATGGACTTTAACAGCATTTTAATGCTGTGCCTTGTGGTTTTGTGTCATTTGACGTGTTTGTTGCGGGCTGCCCGAGTCTCTCTGCAGAAAGGCACGTACTTTTCATTGCTGCAAAATAAAGGAATCAGTCATACTTACAAGGGATTTCTCGGTAACCACACTCCAGAGCATGGAAGTAGTTCATAAACTCTCTCACGGGAATTTTAAAGGTTTCAAAGAGACCCATGTCCTCAAAGAGCCTGTAGGATACCTGGAGAAACAAAGCAAGGGGAAACATCATACGTAGAGTATGAGTGGGGTCAGATGGCCCTGGGGCCGCAGCGGGAGCGCCAAGCCCCTCGGTTCAGACCGTGCGACTCTGCCGGCCAAACGGCTTCACCAGACCCCCGCCCGGCTCCTCGTCCTGCCTGCTCAGTCTTGCTCTATCTCCAGCTGCAGAGTTGGTGAGCAGCTCTTCCTCTGATGTCTCCTTCCCGAAAGCAAGGCCATTTTTGTTCTAGCATGCAAACTGGTCTGTTGGCCTGGCTGTTATTTCTATTCTGTGAGTCTTTACTCCTGTGTGGGAATCTTTACTAATTCCTGTATTTCCAAACTTGCTACTACAGTCCCAAGCTAGGAGTTGGTTTGGTGGCTACTTGGACGTTACCCAAGGCCCAGTCTATTTCTGGCACAATTTAGGGTGCTGGCTATCCTTTTCGAAGCCCTGGGGTGCTTCAGCTGGATATACATGAAGGACTGCCTTCTTCTACCTGTGTAGGCCCATCAACTCAGGAGAGGCCTCTCTGTTTCCTGCCCACCATCAGAGGCCTAGTAGGTGGTGAAAGTAGGAAAGGATGAGCAAACAGGCAAAACTTGAATGCAGTAAAATTCTCCAAACTCCACTTCAAAGCTGATCCTCTTCTGCGACAGCTCTTTGTGTGCATTTGCCTGCATTTTTTTCATATTTATGCATCAATGGTTCCCTTTTTGGAAATCTGTGCATGCTTCTCCTGCTGATTAAAGTGTGTTTGTATGCACAGTGCCAAATGCAATTCACTGGTTTGCGAAATCCCACTGCGACTTTGGAAATGAACAGACTCCAACTGCAGAGTGTGTTTGAGTTCATGTTTAATTCCAAAGGTGCAAATGGGGAATATTCGCATTACAAAAGAAGACGATCTGAATAAAAGTCTCACGCAACCCTAGTGAGAAGACCTTTTCCACAACAGTGATAAGGTCACGGAACCGCTGCAAGTAGTGCCAGATTTTTTGTGCAATGCATATTAGCTAAAATTTGCACTGTAACGCTGGAAGAATTTCACTGCTGGAAAGATTATGGCATTTGCCATCATGGAAACTCTGTCACCTACTTTTTCCTTCTTGCTGACAAGGCTGGAGGGAAACTCCAAGGTGGGGGTGATGCAGAATGTAGGTGGGTTTGGGAGAACCAGGTAGGAAAAGAAGCATCGCAGACTTGGGTCAGGTCATTCCTTTCCTCTAAAAAGTCATGCAAGGGCAACATCAAAGCACCGGTGAAAATGGCTTAATTTTCACTGTATGGGACAACCTGCCAGCAAGCTTTTTTCCAACACTTTGCAGAATGGCATGATAATGCAGGGGTGGGAACCTCTTTCGGCCCCAGGACTGAATTCTGTTTTGGAGGAACGACCCCAGCCACAAATATGTTAGCCAGCCAGGCTTTGACAAAGCACATCCATCAATGCATCCCTAAAGAGATGAGCTACCCAAGCAAACTCCATGTCAGTTCCAGATCAGCTGTGTGGTTCTGTGGATGTATGGGGAGAAAGGGCTAAGATGCAAAGTGGCAGCTGGACCCCTGAATCCAGCCTGACCCAACACTGCTGCAGCACAGCTGGGATCCACTTCCCTATGGCTTCTTCCCACACGGATGAGAAGTGCAGGGTCTCGGGAGCGAAGTAGGAAGAAGTCGCAGGAAAACAGTGGCGAATGAGTCAGCCCCAGGGCGAGAACTGAGGCTACACATTAATTTTCAGAACTGCATGCATCTGCCTTTGCACTTGTTGCTCCTCTCTCTTGCTCCCGCCGCTCTGGTCTAATTTTAGATGGCTCCACTTAGCAGGGACCTCTGGCCGGCCACTCTGCAAAGAGAATGCTGGGTCCTTTGGTCTTTTCTATGTTGCTTTGCAGATTAATAGTGAACTGCTAGTAAGCCTATCGGACTGTAAGCGGTCAGGGGCGGCTTGTGGCCTCTCTTGGGGCACTTGGAGGTGGGGAAGCCACTGCAAGACTTGACCCCGACTCTGAAGGAGCTGAGGAAGCGGGGAAGTGGTGAGACAGCAGGAATGTGGAGACCGGCATCCACACCACCTGGTGGGGGGCTGGGGGGCAAGGCAGGAGCAGGGGGTAAAGGGCACCTGGGAGAGCAGACTGGAAGGAGATGGCAGGGGAAGAGGAGGTGAGAGGAGAAAGAAGAGGAGTGCACAGACAACAGGTGCCGGGGCATGGCTGGACAGACAGTTGCCCTGCCAGGGGGGCAAGGGCATGGCTAAGCAACAGGTAGGTTTGGGGCCCCAGGGAAGGAGGTAACCGTTAGAGATGCAAAGGCCTACTCAGGAAAACAAAAACAGGAAAAAGTTAGGGGGGAAATGTGTTGTGTATGTGTTCTGAATTTTTCCAAAAGATCCCACACATTTTTGTAAAGTAGATTTTTTCTGGGCCTTCACCATCTCTAGCAACAATCACCCTCTTGCTGGGGTGACATGAAAACTCTAATTTATATTCCTTCCGAAGTTGCTTCATTTTTCTGGCTACAAAGATGTCGCAAATAGCTCTTACTTCATCAGTCTGATCATAAAACACTTTCCAAATCCTCAGTTGCAGCTGCACTTCCCGGAGTCTCTTCCCAAAAGGTTTTCTTAGAATCTGACCCCCCAGCTGCCTAAGATTCTCTGTATTTTCAATCCTTTGAAAGCAGTGGCAGGGGACAGAAAGTCCATTTCTGAACCACACCTGATCTTTAAACTGCAGCCTTCAACTCTACCTTCTTCCTTCTAAATAAAACACCTTTTATCCCAACAAAGGTAGTTATTAGGCAAACTCAGAGCATAAATTACAGCATTTCCGAACAGCACAGTTCACCAGAAAATGGCAGGGAAGTTCAAGAAAGGCCTGCCCTTCCGATGTGAATCAAGGTTCCCTCACCCCACTTTGGGAATGCAGTATTATCCCCACATTTTTACAGATTTCCTGCTGTTCTGCTCAAGTGCCTTCCATTGTGCCGCAGATGGATGCTTTTAGCTTATTTCCTTTTAATACACATTCGACAATAATTTAGCCTCCCTTACAACATACGTCGCTGGCTTCTCAAATATCTTTCGAGAGCGCTCGCTTACGTCGGCGCTCGCTTCTGAAGGCAACTGCTCCCTCAGGGGGATATGTCAGCTCTTCTTTATTCCATTCCATAAATTTCAGGCTATGTGGCCCACGTAGGTAATTCATTTTGTTAATTTCTTCCTCCCTCGCTCTAGCTCAGATCAGGAAGGCAATTTCAACTGCAGAAAGCCAAGGATGAATCATCCAAAACCCCAGAGGCCCTTTGCTCTGCACCACCTCAAGGAACTTATGGATGTACCCTGATATACATTTTTCAAATCAGAAAGCACAACTGTTCCTTTTCTTCGCCTCCAGGAAACAGATGCATACATTAAACAAATCTGAGTTTGATTTTACACCTCCAGGCCAAATGCAGATGTGATTCTGCCCAGCCTCCTATCCATCATGGGTTAACATGCCTCCCCTCCTACCTACCCTCGCTCCTTTACCTCTTCATGCAAATCTCACCTGCTTTCCTTTCCGGCATGTTTTGATTATCCATCTGTCTGCTCTAATGGTTTGGCAAACTATGGTTATCACCAAACTAAAGTTCATAACCATGGTTAGAAGCGGGGTTGTCAAGTACGGTTTCAGCTAACCATAGTTGCAAATAGAAGTGGTGCAGAACCTGCAAGCTGGCAGAAATATAGGGTTGGATCCAGGCTGTATTAAGTCATACATTAGTCCCACTGAAATCAGTAGGAAAAATTTATAGTAACTAATTCAAGCACTAATCATTTCCAGGGGACTGATGTATTACTTAGTCTTGGTCCAACCATAGGTGTCTTGCAAGGAAATATCAAGTGTAGTTTAGACTAGACGGGAGAGGAACAGTCTTAGCCCTCTCCCTAAATGGGAGAACACCTACAATATGCTATCAGAATTTCATGGATTTCCCAATAAAGGTAAAGGTTTCCCCATGACATTAAAGTCCAGTCATGCCTGACTCTAGGGGGTGATGCTCATCTCCGTTCCCTGGCCAAGGGAGCCAGCATTTGTCCGGAGACAGTCTCCGTGGTCATGTGACTGGCATGACTAAACACCGAGGGGCACAGAGCGCTGTAACCTTCCCACCGAAGTGGCACCTTTTCATCTACTTGCATTTGCATGCTTTCGAACTGCAAGGTTGGCAGGAGCTGGGACGGAGCAACGGGAACTCACCCCGTTGTGCAGATTCAAACCTACGACCTTTTGATCTACCAGCCCAGCAGCTCAGCAGTTTAAACCACTGCACCACCCACAGTCCCGGATTTCCCAATTCCCTGATTAGGACCGGAGTGGCAATGGGAAATCCATGCAAGGAAATTGCTCTGCATTCCTTCCTCCTATATTCCAGCAACACATCTTCTTTACAAAACAGTGGGCTTTCTTACCTGACTCAGGATCCGACCACATTTCTTGCCGATCTTCTCTACCAAATCAAAGATGGGGAAGTTCCAACTGTTGAGCTGTTCCATAAGAGGGTCCAAATTGTCCATGACTAGAGGCTCTGGGGCAAGAATAGGTTTGTCCTGTATCAAGAACCAACAAACATTCCCAGAATTACAAAAAACACTATAAAACATTGGCTACTGCAACATTTCTAATGGTAAATGCTTGGCTTTGCCATTAGTACTAACCCAATCTATCACAAAACGTCATTTTGGATTCTTTTTCTGCTTACACTAGATCTTGACAAAAGCATAACCAGATATTCCTCAGGGAGAAGTGTACTGTGTACATGCATGTTGAGAATTTTTTTGCCTCCATGAGAAAATAAGGATTTTTTGCCAAAATATTGCCCTGCCTCTAAAAAATTATCAGGGTGCAGCTCTCTCTGAGCCACTGGCATTAGGCACCAAAGGCTCAAACTTTTACCCTGCATCAGTCACATACAGAGAATGGAAAAACGGGATGCTAAAGCTTGCCAAAATTCTCTGAACTCACCCGTTTTGGTTTGCCATACATTCAAAGTGCACATTCCAAATGTAGAAGTGTGTGTTTCTCTGCTCGCTTTGTGAAAGGCACACTTTCATCAGGTTGACTAAGGATGCTAATGAACTAAGATGTTCATAACCCTCTGAACTCGGGAGTATTTATTTATTTAAGGTTTTTGTATGCCGTCCCTGGGCAGATTACAGACATCCTATGCAGGATGGAAGGGACGTGGAGGCAAAGGTCATGTCACCTACAAAATACCTGATTTTTGGCCATCTAAGGATCACCCCTTGGAGCGTGAGGGGAGGTGGCAAAGGTGCAACCAAGATATTTCATCTCCTGGTACCTCTTGCCTCCTCCCCAAAACCCCATCTCGCTGCATGAGCTCTCTCCGCACCAGCTGCAGAGACGGGAAGGACCCTCTGAGCTCAGAAGCCCAGCTCAAGTTCAACGAGCTTTTCCAACCTCATTGTTGGGTCTCCCAAATATCCGACTGCCATCTAGACCACAGCTAGCGGCAACAGGATTGTCCTCTGCAGCATGAAAAGGTATAGCTTTTGAAAAATACACATTTTAAACTGCAGATTTTTTAAAAAACACACACACACACACGAAAAAAGTGTGGTTAAATGCTCTTCTGTTTGCATTCATGGTTGCGAATGGGGAAACTTCTGAAGATTTGCAAACTTAAAACAAAATTCGTGTGTACTCCTGGGGACTTTTTCCATATTGCCCACAGAGCTGCTGGCTAGAAGAAGGAGATGCAAGCCGTTCTAATGGAACTGTCACACTCCAAGATCAGACGTTGCTTATTTTAGGCACCTTCTTGTTGACAGGGAGTAATGGGATCTCCCCTCGCCCTGCCATCTCACTACCTGTTTTGGGGCTTGCAGCCCTCCTGCCTATTCTCTGCTTAGGTTACTTGTGTTTCGGGCCTTAGTGGCTTAAAAAGAAATTAAACAAAATGCCAGAGCTGAAGAATCTTTCTCTGCATTGTAGACAAGAAATAGCCCGATGCAACTGACCCTTGCATACAGGAAGCAGATGCATCATGAATTGGCCAAGAAGGGACAAAGGCCAGTGAGAGGGCATCAACCGGCACAGCAGCCGGGTCCTGCTGATGCTGCCCTGCCTTGCTCACCTGTCTTTGCTAAGCATGCGGTGATAAGTACGAGAAGATCGTGCAACAGCAGAGTTTGAAGGGGCCAAGAAGGCCATCCAACCCCTGCTCAGTGCAGAACCCCAGGAAATCCATCCCTCTCAGATGGCTGCCCACCTGCCTCTTGAGTGCCTCCGCTGTGGGAGAGCCCACCACTTCCCCAACAGTCCTGAAACTTTTCCTGATGTCCCGCCAGAATCTGGGTTCCTGTAACTTGAGGCCGTTATTCCGTGTTCTGCACTCTGGGATGCCAGCGAAGAGATCCTGGCCTTCCTCTTTGAGACAGCCTTTCAAGTATTTGAAAAGTCCTTTCCTATGTTCCCTCAATCTTCGCTTTTCAAGGCTGAGCATGGCCAGCTCTTTCAATCTCGTTTACTTGCCTTGTGCTCTGCCTTCTGGAAAGTAAATGGGCCATGAAGACAGAAAAGGAGAAGAAAGAGGAGGAAGATGCTGCTAGTTGGAGGAGATACTGAAGACTTTAAGTAGTTTTTAGCTCATTCTAAGGCAGCACCTGTGAGCTTACATGGACTCCGGGGGAGGGTGGAGCACAGGGAGGCCTGGAGGAATGTTGTCCATGGGGTCGCGAAGGGTCGGGCACGACAGGACTAACAACAACAACAACAACAACGGCAGCACCATTCGCAGTGTGAATACGGAATCGCCCAGAAATGCACAGTAAGGATAAAGAGAGACAAGATCTCAAGTGACCTGGAAGCCTCACTTGGCTGGAGGTTAAAGACAGAGGGCAGCATCACAATGGAGGACTTCCACGATCTGTTTTCTGTTAACGTTGTGTTTTGTTTTCAATATACTCAGGCTAGATGGACAGATTCAGAGGGTGGGGCCTTGGCAGCCAAGCCTTCTTCCCGAGCTGTCCACTTGGACTCTTGCACCACTTCTGGGGGTTATTAGTTATAAGCTAAAAGTGGATATTTATGAGCTTAATTTAGGCCACATCTGCACTCTGTTGAGCAATAATCCACAGCAGTCCCCATTCTCTTCTACTCCCCCATCTCCCAAACTGTTTTCCCAGTTTGCTTGTTAGGTCTGATTTTTTTGAACAATGCTGTTTTGGATTTATGCATCTGTGCAATCAGGCCAATCAGAAATTACGGGCTGCATTGGAATTCCCATCTGTTTTTAGGTAAATTCGGTTCTCTTTAGTCAAGGAGGATGAGACGTAGAAGGAAGATGATGAGTAAGAAAGATACTGATAGCAGAAGCAGTAGCAACATGTGGGATCTGCAACAAAAGGTTGCGGTGCGGACCCGGCTCTGTAGCTCTCCAGGTCAACAACTGTCGGAGTCCGGCTCCGACAAAGGCGCGAGAAAGTTACACGAGAGAAAGAAAAACTGCAGTCTGGAGATCAGTTACAGAGCATGCTCGGTTGTGCTTGCAGGGGAAGACAAAGAAAAAAAGATGTCCCCCCCTCACCTCCGGCACCTCCTTTTATTCAACTCACAGCTTTACATAGGCATTTGCATACAGCCACTTGGCCGTCGAGTACAAGCAGCCAACACCCTAGTGCTTAGGTTACAAGCCTTATATGGTTACAAGCCTAATATGCTTACATAGGTAAATTACTATACTGCTGTCGTGGCGTACGTATGGCGTACGTAACTACAGCGCGACTCAGCGATGAACTCCCACAAACAACCGACATTCGAACAGCCCATTCCTCCCTGGACCCCGCGATGCTCCCCTGAAACCGCTTGGTGGACATTCTAAGGCCCATGAGCACACTCGACCTTCACTGGACTATTTTTGGTCTCCTCCCCCTTTAGTGTCCCCCCAACAAACTTTTTGTTCTGTTTTTGCAAGCCCTTGGACTCCCCAAGCCTGCAGAGTGGATGCACACGTGAGCAGAGGCCTTAAACATCAGATGCACACTCAGATCATGAATCGAGCAGGAAAGCACCTAAAGGCATCAGCAGGAAAGTTCCCAGCCCAGTCCTGAATATACAAGGATGCCTTACATTAGTTGGTTCAGCTCCTTTTCCAACTCAGCCTTCCTCGACCTCAATGTCTGCAGGGGTTTTAGCTGACAACTTCCAGCCATTCTGACCGCTAGCTGTGCTGGAAGTCCAAAACATCTGGAGGGCACCAAGTTGAGGAAGGCTGGCAGCCCACTGTTGCCCCACTGAGGTGGCTCTGTATGACCCCTGGGAAACATTTCCCTTTTCCTCTTTTTGAGATTGCTTGACCTGGAGGTGGTGCCAGGAATGGAATTTTGGAACCTTCTGCATGCCAAACATGGGTGCTACCACTCAATAGATTATTAACTGTCTAGATATTTTAACGGAGACCAAGGTCAAGATAATCCATGCTAGTCTATTCCCAATCACTAGGTACGGGAGTGAAAGCTGGACAGGGATGAAAGCTGACATGAAGAAAATGGATGCATTCGAAACATGGTGCTGGTGAAGAGCTTTGTGAATAGCCCGGACTGGCAGGAAAACAAACAAGGGGGTCCTAGATCAAATCAAGCCAGAGTTTTCCCTAGAGGCAGAGATAACAAAACTGAGGCTGTCATATGTTGGGCACATCAGGGGAAGGCAAGACTCCCTGAAGAAGACCATCATGCTAGGGCCGAAGAAGAAAAGAAGGACAAAATAAGAGACGGATGGACTCCACAGTGCAAGCCACAGCCTTGAATTTGGAACATCTAAGTAGGGATGTCATGGATAGGACATTCTGGAAGGCTTTCATTCATTGGTTTGTCATAAGTTGTAAACAACTTGAGAGCACATAACAACCACCAGCACCATCAATTGCTATGAAAAAACCAAAGATTATTTGCAAGTAATCAAATACTTTGGCCATCTAATGAGAAGGAAGGACTCCCTGGAGAAGAGCCTAATGCTGGGAACGATAGATGGCAAAAGAAGAAGGGGACGGCAGAGGATGAGGTGGCTGGATGGGGTCACTGAAGCAGTCGGCGTGAGCTTTGGTGGATTTCGGGGGATGCTGGAGGACAGGGAGGCCTGGAAGAATGTTGTCCATGGGGTTGCGATGGGTCGGACATGACTTTGCGACTAACAACAACAACAAATCTGTTCTCGCACTGGAGCAGACCTTAAGATGACATAACTATGCTGAAGAGGGAATGAGATACCTCCGGCGGTAGCAAAGGATGCAATATGATTGTCTCTGGAGTGTATGTCCTGCAGACAGACCCCCTCTGCACCTGCTCCTTGGAGCAATCTGTCTCCTCGTCATTCGGCACGATGTCGCTGCTATCACTGTTGTTCGTTTCGTAGTCAGAGGTGGCTTGTGCTGGGTCATCTGAAATGCAAGCCCAACAACCCATTACTGCTGATAACCAAAACAGTCCTGTTGAATTGTCAAAAGCTCAAATCGCAGGCCACCTTGTGGTCTCTCCTGTCAGGCTCTGGATTCATGTATATTACTGGGGAGGCAAACAGGGAGCCCCCCTGAAAGAAAATTCAGCCTCAACATAAGGGATATGGATTCTAAGAAGCCCTGGTAGGGCTGCAGAACCCTAAGTTCAACCCCCTAGTGTGGGAGGTGGCGTCCCAAAATGGCCATGCCCATTTTCCTCACTGAGCACCTGCCACTGGGTGGGTTTCCATTTTTGCCAGGGTTTGTACCCATGCTAAGAGACTGAACTGCCATAGACAGTGGCCATAAGAACTGCAAATTAAGATAGGCTGACATTTTAGCCTTGCTCTCACCTCGTTTTGACGTTGGCTTTGCTCACCGCTGGAATGCACAGCTATGAAACTTGGTCATGGGCTGAAAGATATTGCCCATCCCTGGCCTAAGAGCTGGTATGGTTTTAAGCCACCCCGCGACCTTCCTTCCTCACACACAAAGTTACCGCCTAATCAGGAATAAGCTGTAGTGATCTTAACCATGGTTTCAGTCATGTTCGAAGGAAAATTTGATCATGCCCAACTCCGCCTGGGTGTACCAAGAAGTACTCATTAAAATTCTTCAAGTTCATTTGAAAGTTTGGTTCAGATCATACCTGTTTTCAAACAAATGTCCTTCGATATGTTCAAATAGGAAAAGTGCATATCTTTCCAAAGCATGCATTTTCCTTTCATCGACTAAAGTGTGAAATAAAAATAATAAGCAAATTTCAACATGCATTTCCCCAGAATACACATTTATCAAACATGACTGCGCATTTGGGAAGGTGTGAACCATTTTCAGAAAAAGTATATTTTATTTATTTATTTATTTATTTATTTATTTATTTATTAAAACATTTTTATGCCACCCCATTCGCCGAAGCCTCGGGGCGGCTTACAACAATAAATAAAACCACATAAGTTAATATTCCCATTCATGTTCAAGGCTGTGAACAGGGTAAGTTTGGGTGGTGAACTGTCAAGAAATCCTCATGCATCTCAGCCACGGTTAGTAATCGTGCTGACAGAATTCTTAATTACAGCATTCAAAGGCTTCTCAATTCATAATTACAGCTCCAGGAAGGACAGTTGTTGGAAAGGCAGTGCACCTTCTCGTGGTGGGCCCCAGTCTGTTAACCGAGGTGAGAGTTCTGTCTACATTCCCTTAAAATAATCTGTAGCGTGCATGTGTACTTGGGGGCCGGAGGACATTCTCTATAGCAGGAAACACTTGGTTGATCATTTTCCAGATCTCATAGCAACACTGGAAACTGCCTTTTATTGGCTCAGACCACTGACAGAAACTTCTAGTGGAAGGACAGGGCCTCAGGTAACTCAACAAGCCAATGACTCATTCATATCACTTTTGAAATGGTAGGTTTTGCTTTGGGCGTATTTTATGGAAAAGCAGAGGATCTTTATTGCTTTGGTTACATGCAGCAGCTCTGCAGGATTTCAGACTGGATTTTTCCTGGTTCTATCACGATCCATCAGAGATCGATCCTTCGATCTTCTGCATGGAAGATGTGCACTCTGCTGCTGAGCTATGGTCTTTCCTGGTAATTTCTATGCAGGCATAACGTAATGCTTTGTTTTGTAAATTCTTACGAGGTTCTGCTTCACCACATCTATATTTAAAATAGATGCGAGTCGAGATCAAAGAGGATGGATTTGGCTTCCTTGATCTTACTTGATCATCAGGCTTATTTGTTAACTGGTATGGAATTTTGGTCTTTTCTGCAAGGATTAAACATTCCTCACTGGACAGTTTTGGCATCTTCAAGTTTGGATCCTTTCCCAAAACGGATTGTGCTGGGCTTTTGATAACCAAAAACAGGTCCTGTTTCTTCCACAGTTGCAGTGGTAAGAAAGGTATAGACATGGTATCACATCAATTACAGTTCGATCCATTTTTTTAAACACACAAAATGAACTCTCTGTAGAAATCCAGATTTAAAAATTGGCAAGAAAATATTTATTTGGCGGACTTGGGACAGACAAGCTGATTTCTCCTTCAGATCAGTTACTAAGTACTGGTTACAACTGCTTGCTATTTTCCACTCTGTGGGTCAAATACGATTTTCCAGCTACAGCTGAATGTCCATACATTCCACTGAAGCATCTGCTAGAACCTAGTTTGCCCCTGCCACTATTGCAGCTTCCTCATCAGAATTACTGGCTAAGGTGACCCAGATGCAATGACCCATGTTCCAGGTTTATTATCTATCACTCATAAATGAATTAGATACACACGGTCTTAACCAAAAGTGGAATAGCAAGCTGGATTTTCCTACCCTGTCCAATCAATAGATTGCTACATAGATATCTATCTCAGAAGAGTTACTGGATCACAGGTTGGGTCCAATTCAGAAAATAAGTTATGTTTCATGCATCCAAGAGGGGGATTTTGGACTCTACAGTGTCTCTTTAATAAGGCTTTGTCTAATCAGTTTGAGTTTTAACACAGCTAACACTCCGTACCTGTATGTTTTGGCAATGCCCACTGGCTGCCTCTTTTTGGGAGAAGGTAATAGTACAGATAAACTTTGTGCTAGAAAGCTCTTTAATACTCATCAGTGCCAATGTTCTGAACTATCTACCAGTTTCTTGGAATGTAATGCAAGGTCAGTGTAAATGGATTCTCTGTGTCCTGTTGACAGCTAAAAAAATAATATTCCAACACTGGAAGCACAGACAATCAGCTTCACTAACACTGTGGGTTGAGGACTTAACACAGATTTTAATATGTGAACACGTGGTGTTAAGGTGCCATCTAAAAAAATGTATAAATATACAGATATTTGGTCTGCCTTTGTTGAAACCTATGGATGTTAGAATAATATGCTTTATATAAAATAAACAGAGGTCAATATATACATTGTGTATATAGCTATCATAACTGACCTATTCAATTTTCCTATTTATTATTTTCAAATAGTACAGTTTTATTTTATTTTTTCTTTTCTTTTTTGCTTTCCTATTGATTTATTGAAACTCGCAATGAAAATAAGTAAAATAAACCTTTTATATGGATGTGAAGGAAACACATTAAAGTATTAATGCATTTGTTTGCATGCGTGAATGCTGAGCTACAAATACTCTGAACACGGCTTCAGAACAGAGGGTTGGAAAGCTCCTGCTTGCCTTTCTCTCTCTGCAATGGATCTATGTTTTTTCATGTATTTGCTTGCTTGGTTGCTTGCAATAAATATTCTTCAGGGGATTCAGAGTGGCTCCGAGATGACAGGTGTGAAGGGGATTGACTGGTAAAAGGAGTAAGATAAGCACAGAGGAGCAATGGCCAGAGAAAGGTGGCCACGGGCCCCGTGATTGTCTTTTGCAGTTTCTCCAGGGAAGCCTGCAAAATTCTCAAAGTCTGGCTTACACATTACTGTCATTCATCTGAGGAATGCCTGTATTAATACAGCATTTAGGAATGGAGGTCTACTTTTTAACTTTCCTTCTCTGGCACTCCTGAATAGCCCTATCATGTCACCAAAGCTGTTTAAATGGAATGGAACTCAAGGCTAGCTCATTGTTGTGGATACAGCTGGCTAAGACCCTGCCTTTTTGCCTCTTACAAGGAGCCCAAAGACGCTTACAAGCTTCTCCCCTTCTCCAAGTTCTTCTCTCAACAACTTTGCCAAGTCGGTTAGGCTAAGAGTCTGTGAATGACCCAAAGTCACTCTGTTAGTTTCACAGGGACTAGATCCCGGATCCGCTGAGTCCCAGTCTGACATTCTAACCACTGCAATATGCATTCTCTTAGAGTGATTTCAAGCCACCGAAACTTCTTCCATTGAATCTTCAGGTAAAAGGTACACCTACCTGCTCTGTTCAAGGTGTGTGCTGCTCCTTCACTTCTATCCAGTGCTCTCTCACTGGGTTCTATTTGGCTGTATGGCCTTCCACAGCTGGAGAATAGATTGAATCGACAGAAATTGTGTAAATTCAGGTAAGCCATATCAATTGGACAGTTCCATGGCTTGCGAAGGATTGTGGAAGGTAATGGCTTTCTTAAGTATTTCTTTATAGATTCGTATTCCACCTTGTAGAATAGCTGGTTCATACTTGCGACTTTATTTATTCCATTTCTATACAGTCAAGATACAGCAGTGCAAAAACAGGTAATAAAGATAAGAGATCGTTAAACAACCATTGTCAGTGCTGAGCAACTAAAACTCTTGGATAATTTATTTTCCCTCTGGAGAACTTCAGTGAAAGTGAGAAATGGTATTTTAAATAAATCTTTAAAATAAATTCTAAAAAAATCAATGGGCACTGGAAATGCATGGGTAAACCAAGGCAGGCTGGAGCATATGCGAATTAACAAAATTTGAGTTCACCAAATTCCACCATGAGGTTTGTTTTGACTTGAGTTTGTAATACATCGCAAGCTTTGTTTCTTATTTTTATTTTTGCACCGAAACCTCTGTTTACTTCTGTATTTTTCCAAACGTACATATCAGCTGTGCATGCCTTAACATTATTCTCCCATAGACTGGTGCACGTATTAAAATAATGCACATCTCTGCAAATGTATTTTTCAAATGTACACACACATTTGGAGTTTATAGAGCAAATTGCAAGCTCATAATTCAACCGCAGGTAAGGCCTGTGTGTGTGTTTGCTTGGGAAGGAATACACTGGGTAATTTCTGATCAAAAATGCAGTGAAATGAATTTTTTATTCACTCCAAACCAGACTAAAGCTATAAGGTACTCAAAGCTGAAAATGTAATATGGATTTCAGAAAATGGAGGAGGATAAAAGCAAACATACTGCATTTTGGAACTGTATCACTTGAATGAAAAGAGTGGGCAGGTGATTCATTTTTCAAATGAACCTTGCCACTACTCAGATGTATCTTGCCATCCCAGATAATGCTTCTGAAGGCTGACGGTATAAACTCATATATGTGGGTTTCCTGGCGTGGCTTAAAATGTCATCATTCTGACCTACATTCCTTGCAGAATCGCATTACAAAGAAAGTCAGGTTTCTGTCCAAGCATGGCTGGTTAGCTACAGTAAAACACAAAGAACTAGTCTTCTGGAATGCCATAAAACTTGCCAGTGTAATTCAAAAAGCCAGCATTTAAACCAGGATGCAATTATGAGTGTTATGCAGTAACATTAAGCAAACACTGAACAATTGCTACTGAACTTTAAAATAAGTCCCAGCAGGCTGCTTCTTGGAACTCTTTGTTTTCTTTCTGGGTATCATCAAGGATCTAGTGCCAAAACACCCAAAACTCTAGGATGCAACAATTGGTTAGGAAATGTCAAAGGCTGAGATTCTGATGGGCTCTGTGCAGGCAGGAAATCCAAAAACCATGCAGCAACAGTTTTATCTAAGCTTCTCACATCCTGAGGGGCTAAACGGAGGGGGGTAATTGGTCAAGGCGCTGGAGGGACAGACTGACCTTGCCTGTGCATCACGCTAAGGAACGACAGGTGGTCACCCCTGGCGACTGCAGGGTGAATTAGTGTCATATCCAAACCCAACCTGGCTTTTCTATTGTAGGTTGCTTTTCACAAATAAAAGAACACATGGCTTGTAGCGGGGTTGCTTGGCACAAGGTTGTTCTTAGGGTGGTTTGTTACGACATCCAGTACTGGCCGAATGACCTCAGCATGGGTGGCTTACAATGGTGAGAAAGCTGCCTGGGAAGGGGGCAGGCAGTACCAGTCTAGGCAGATGCAGCAGGATCCAGGAAACAGGTCCCGAGGCAGGTTGGGGCCAAACACTGTTCCAAGCCCATAATGGAGGAAGAGGCAGAGCTGAAGTCCAGGGACAGGGTGACGTCAGGAGCCAGGAGTGCATATTAAAACAAGCCAGGGCAAGATCATGAGCAAACCCAGGAAAACAAGCAAAGCATAGAGCAGGTACACGAGGACAGGATTCAGAAGTGGCAGGAGGAACAGCAGGGCAGGGCAGGGCGAGAGTCAGGAGCTGGAACATGCAAGTGCAAGCGGGAAAACCTGTACTGCTGGAGGGCAGAGTGTGCTCTTATGAAGCTCTTTCCCCAGGGCCCCCAGCTGGCTGAGAGTTCCAGCAGGGTCTGGAAGTGATCCTGCAATTATCGCGGTGGTTCTTCTGGTTCGGGTTGCCAGATGCAGCCCTGAAGCTGCCCAGATCCTGACACAAGGACAGCAAAACACCCTGCTGGCAGCTCACTGTGACCTAGTTGTGCTGCCTTCATCTGCGCCCCCCCCCCCGCCTTCTGTCACTGCTTTGACCCTTTATAATGACCCTATCATGATCTCAACCCTTTTTAGAAAATACATTTTTTCTTGCTGGGGACAGGTCCTTAAAAACTATGCCTTTTTTTGGTCCTGTGCAAGGCATATTGTCTTATTTTACTCACATGCTTCACTGACTGCTAAACTGGCAACGCTGAAATAATCACCACAGACTCCCACATCCATCCGACCCACGGCTCCATCTCATACAGCCATTCAGTTGTGGTTCATGCTGACGTAGAGAAGGAATTTGACAGCTGTCGTTTCAACCAGTTATAAAAGTTCAACTTCAACAAATGGATTTCTAGGCCAGCATAGGGCATAATTATGCGCTTAGGTACTGCAGTGGGTGCTGTCCCACCAATACAACGTATGAATGTAAGTCGCAGTATTACAAATGTGTGCCTTTTTGTACACACACAGGAATGAAGAAAAAAGCTTGCACAAATGTGCACAAATCCATTTGCACAAATTTGAAGAACTGGAAGAAAGGTGCTGCTGCCTTTTACATTGCTCAGAAAAGGGATGGAGATCAGGGTGTGGTACGGTGCTTCCTTCTGCAGGGAATAAAAGTCTCTGAGATGACTTGTATATATTTGACACACCTTGTGTCACAACCTGTGTGACAGCCATATAACACTTGGGCTCCTCATAATATACATCAAATTATTTGTCTGTCAAACCCTCCATTGTCTACTCGGGCTGCTCTTCGGGTTCTTAAGCAGAGAGAGACTTTGCTACCTGCACCTTTAAGAGGAGATGTTGAGGTCAGGGAAACACTAATTTTAATAAGAGAAACTGCCCTATGTATTCCATGCTGGACATTCAGGTTGTTTGAAGCTAATCAGCTGATGTTAACAGTGCTGAACAGCTGCAGAGCTTTCCATAAAATTCTTTCAGGATGTATATTTGCACATGATACATATTTAACCAGACATCAGAGTTTTAACGCTATGACTGTACAGGAACAGACATGATATAAATCAGTTTTATGGGAAAATTGCATAAATATCTGGAATGGCACTGACAGAATCCATTAAGCATATTTCATTTCAGCAACGTCATTAGAGAGAAATTAATTCAAGATGTGAACTGCCCGAGAGAACAGTGGAGCCCCAAGAACAATTCTGAATGCTTGAACTATTCTTTGATTATTCTATTGTAACATTGCACAGCAATGCATGCCGTATTGCTGTTTCTCTGCTTCTCTGAAATATACATAAGCATATATTCAGAGCCAGGGTTTGGCTTCCACAGGAAATAACTAGCACACAATTGATACTAATTTGGGGCAGCAGTCGAAGCAGCAGAAGCTGGAGACACGATGTGTGCAGTCAAGGGAGAACTTCATTCATTGTTTTTGAGTCAGCTGTTCCCACCACCAAAACAGTCGGGCTCCTTTTGGTACCTTCAGACAGAGCAAGCTATTTTTTCCGACTGGGGCAGCCTGCTTGTGCATCAAACTTAACGTTGCTTAAACTGACTGTCGGTAGTTCCCTTGGGTGAAAACAGAAGGGGAAGTCTTAGAAACACAGAAACAGAGTGAGTCAGAAGGGGTCTCCTGGGCCATCTAGTCTGATCCCCTGCTCCAGATGGCTCTGTTCATGACATGCCTACCATGTGCATGTCATGGATCAGATCTTGATGGATCAGAGCTGTATCTGGCTGTGGAAAGTCCACCAGCAGGGTCAACAACATTCTTCTTGTTCCCCAGCGACCCATGCATTGGAGGCAAGACTATAAGAGCCCTCATGGACCAGAGGAAAAAAACAATCTAGGCAGTCTATTCTCACAGTAGTCAACCAGATGTCCCAACGGGAAACTCACCAGCAGGACATGAGTGAAAATGTGACCTCCCAGTTGTGTCCCCCAGCCCCTAATACTGAGAGGCATGTAGCTTCTGTCCCTGAGGACAGCATACTGCCAGCACTACTATTAGTTATTAATAGCTATTCCATAGATTTGTATACTTGCTGTGGCACAATAAGCAGCATACAAATGTTTCAAATGAATAAATAAAGGAATAAACAACCTGTGTAGGTGGTTAAGGAAAAGCACCCACACTCATGCATATTACTTGCTCATCCTAACCATACTAGCCAGATCCTCTTCAAGGAAACACTGCATGAACAGCTGGGTTTTGAGCAACGAAAAAAATTAAGACTGGAGTCAAAAGCTCTTTTTTGGTGTTCATCAGACACGGACGTGTGTCTAAGTTGGCTTATTGCTGGGGGTGTACTGCTGAAAATGCTTCTTTTGTTTGAATGTTTGGGTAATGTCCAGTAGTAGCTTCTTCTGGAGAATAGGCTATATTACAGACAAACTTTGCATTGGTGCACATGTTCTTTTTAACTATGCATTTCCTGGAAGTGAATGTTTAGTCAACATAAAGGGGCTTTCTATGCCCTTTGGAGAGGTAAATGCTGATATTATAGCACTGGAAGGATAAAATGCTTGCTTCTTACACTACACTTGATTGAGGACCCAAGATGCTTTAAGCATCTGAATATGTGGCATATAGACACCACTCACAAATAGATACATATTTGTATACTTAATCTGCCTTTTCTGAAGTTTAACTGATACATTCAAATTCCCATGTGGACGAATATTCTTTTTCTAGTTTTGTTTTGTTGAACCTTGTACTAAAAATACATTTTAGAAAAGATGGATGGCACCTATCTAAAGCCAATGGGGATGGCTTTCCAGATAGCAGGTGCTGCCATTGATAGCCTTCTCCTCCATGAGTTTTCCTACTCTCCTGTTAAAGCTGTCCATGTTGGTGGTACTCCCCACTGGTAGCCTTCTATGTATCTACCATGACTAGTATCTATGCATAGCCATTGTATAATCTTCCCCTCCAAGATGCCAACCATTAAGAATCCCAGCTCCAAGAATTTAGAAACACAGAAACAGAGCGAGTCAGAAGGGACCTCCCGGGCCATCTAGTCTGACCTCCAGCACCAGCCGGCTCTGCTCACGACATGCCCACCATGTCTAATTCCTAATTCCCTTTTCAAGCTATGCATAGAAGTCCTTTGTATCACTGCTACCTTCTCATTTAAGGTGGAGGTGTCAAGGATTAAACCTGGGACATTCTCCATGCAAAGCATGTGCTTCATTATGGAGTTAAGATAGTGGGAAATGTTAATCAAAATGAAGGCAGCTATTGTGGTGGTTCTCCCCTGGGCAAGATCTTTGGATCTTGGTGATTCTGCTCGTGCCACTGCACTGGGGAGAAGGAAGCCCAGGTAATGCAAAGAGAAAAGCAGATGCCTATGAGAAAAACAAGCAGTTGCTCCAACTGCTTGTAATAGGCATGGGCAAATAAGCAATGCTCAAAATTGCCAGGATTCTCCAAACATTGTCTCACTGCTTATCTCGTGCCTGATTCCCATTTGTGACTTCTGTTTGCTCTGCTTGAGTGGGAAACATAGACATTGAATGGGCAAAAGAATGGGCATTTTGTACAGATTTCCATGAATTTCTGCACATCTCCTAAAGTGGGGCAGATGAGGCCTCCAGCAGAAATTTGCAGAAATCAAACTGAGAGTCGGAAACAAGAGGAATGAGAGCATGCGTTTAACAATTCACAAATACTTTTGGCAGAGACATGCTCACACGTGCATTGAAATCAGGTTTGTTCCTGTGTTTGATCAGCAGAAATGAAATTCCCACATATGTCTAGCGTTTTACCTGCTGCAAATGACAGGGGTTGCCACGACAGGCTCCGAAAGGTCAGGCGCGCTCAGAGTGCAACCCAAGAGCCTGTGGGACTTGCTGGTTTGCTTAGTGGCTGTGACTGTCAACTCCAGGGACTGGTCATTTGAGTCCTTGCTGGTGGGACTGCTCGCCGGAGTGCCCTGGATGGGTGAATGGCTTGGGGAAGTGAGAGGTGAGATATTGGGTGGGATACCTGTTAGGAGAAAAACAAAACAAAACAAAAAAGCATTTAAAACCAACAAAAAAATAGATACGGGTGTAGATTCATCTGCATGCTTCATGTAATCCAAATAAGTGCCCCAGGACAGCAAGTATGGGAGAGAGATGCCTCCTATGTCAGCATGGCTACTTACGCACAGCAGCTTTTATTGTGAGCCTTTATTATAGGAACTATCCATGTTGCCCCATGGTGCAACCAGTGTAGGGAAAGAGATGCAACCACACCTTAGCTCAGTGGAAGAGCATAGGCTGTATCACTGGCATGTTCAATTAAAAAGGATCAGGAAGAAGGTGATGGGAAAGGACCTCCATCCAGGAAACCAGAGGAGGCTGGAGGATCAGATGGATAAACAATATAAAGCCACTTTCTAAGTTTCTACCTGCAATTTCCTCAATTTCTATTTTGAAGGCGCACAGCCCTTGCTGCTGGGTTTTGCAAGGCGCTTCTGTGAGGGTCTGCCATCGAATTCATACGCACTGTAAAAAGGTATGCGTGGGGTGTGTTTTAGGGTTCATAGACAGTGTATGGAGCACGGCTACCAGAAGACATAAACATCCAGTATCCCCCACTGAATTGCCCATTACTAAAGGGCAGAGGTGGCGAACATATGCCACGCGTGCAACAGCGGGCACGGAGAGCCCCCTCAGTCGGCATGCGAGCCAAGTCACCCCAGCATTGCCCCAGCAGCCGAGCAAGGATGACAATGTCCATGGGGGCCATGCGCATGCTCGGAGGGGAGTAGTGGGGACAGGTGATGACGTCAAAAGCCACGACTCAGTAGCGGAGACTCGTCAGAGCTTTTACATGGCTAGCCAAGGACATATAAATATTTGCTTGGACTAATTGTCAGTCGTTTTTTTATAAAATAAAAACTCAGTTTTCAGGTTATATTGCACTCTTGGCACTTTGCGATAAATAAGAGGGTTTTGGGTTGCAGTTTGGGCAATTGGTCTCTAAACGGTTCACCACCACTGGGTTGGGGTTAGAAAAACGAGGTGTCCTGAAATGATGTTAATGGCTGGAATGTGTTTACAATGGGAAAAAATGATGAGCTGTGCAGAAAAAGCTAATCAAGGAAGGCTTTTTCGAAATTACATTATTTTCAATGGAACTTTAAGCCTGGATTAGAGTTAGGGGAGTGCACCAGGGTAGGGTTAGGATTAGAAAAATGAGGTGTCTCAGCATAATTTTGATGGTTGGAATGTGTTTAGAATGGGCAGAAACGATGAGCAGTAAAGAAAAAGCTACCCAATGAAGGCTTTTTCAAAATCGCATTAGTTTCAATAGAATTACACCCCAGCCTTAGGGTTAGGGGAGTGCACCAGGGTAGGGTTAGGGTTAGAAAAAGGAGGTGTCGCAGCATGATTTTGATGGTTGGAACGTGTTCAGAATGGGCAGAAATGATGAGCAGTGCAAAAAAAGCGACTCAAGGAAGGCTTTTTCAACATCGCATTAGTTTCAATAGAATTATACCCCAGGATTAGGGTTAGGGAAGTGCACCAGGGTAGGGTTAGGTTTAGAAAAAGGAGGTGTCCTGGCATCATTTTTATGGTTGGAATGTGTTTAGAATGGCCTGTTCCCTAAGAGGCTATAAAGCTCTTATTTTGCCAAACCATTGTATGATGAACCACAATTTATGTTCAGAGACCCTTCTCCATTGCAGTCCTCTAAAGCTGAAGCTGCCAATCCTCTCCTTGGAATCACATTTGTCAACATGGCCGCTAACACTTGTAGTACCTCTTGGTTGGTGTTCACATGCATAAGAATGTGGTTCCTCTATTTAATCTATCTACAGCCCACCGTCCGTTTTCCTCTCAAGGAACTCAAGGCAGCTTAAGGTATTCTCTCCCTTCTCCTCTCAATCTTATCTCCACAACAACCCTGTGAGGTTGGTTGGGCCGAGTCTGTGACTGGCCCTAAGTCCCCTATTGCTCCCGAGTCCCAGGCCCACGCTCTGAAGTACTACACCACGCTGGCTCTCCCACGGATTCGAACTTAGAGAAAGACATAGCACTCCAAGGTGCCAAAGCACTGACCGCCTTGTCGGCTTGGCCTCTTCGAATTCAGATGGTTGGTAGTGGAAATAGCACAGGAGGCAGAGAACGACCTGCTTTTGTTGATGGTCATCAGCAAGGAACTGTTCCATGGGTCAGAGCTGTGGAGGAAGAACAGAGACAGACACAACTGGGAGTTGCTCCTCTTCTTGCTTGCGAAGAGCTTCAGGATGGTCAGAGGGATGGTGACGACTCCCAACAACCTAACACCCTGTCAAGTCCAGTACCCTGTTTCCCAAAGTGGTCGACCAGAAGCCTACGGGAAGCCCACAAGCAGGACCCAAGGAAAAACCACAACCAGCAGTATGAAGCCTGCAGCGGCTAATAGCCACCAGGACTGGTAGCCATGATCACTTCACCATGCACATAAAGACACTGGGCTCTAGGCTATGACAACCACCGAACCCATCATGTTTTGGTCCCTTTAAGGGCTCGATAGGGACAATCACGTTCTGTGGACTAGAAGTTTTGCCATCACTCCAATCTTGGCCAAATAAAGCTACATTTGTGGAAATTTTCTGCCTTCCTTGGGGTACTCAAAGGAACAATTTACTCTGCATGGAAGCTGGCACCAAGCCACAAAGGGCAGAAAGGCATTTGGTGGAGCTGAACAGGATTATATGTAATTGCAAACCCTCCTAACCGTGGGCGGCCTCTTTTGTATGATTCGTTCATTGCTTGATGCACTCTGCTGTTGCCCGATGCAGTGTCCTCAGCGTCCCCATCATCCCCAGCTAGCATGGCCATGCCCCTGAGCATCCAACCCAATCTGCTCTGCTCTGTCCTTGCCTTTCCCTCTCTGCTCATTGAAGGAAATCGGTCAGAACATGCCTGGGAAATGGCTGTTCAGTTTCTGCTTGAATGTGTCTAGTGAGGGACAGTCTATCATTGCTCTGAGTAACCGATTCCATTGCCAAACTGTTCCAGCCCTCAAGAACATTCTCCTAACTCATCTGAAACCAAATCACTGGATTCCCCTGACCCCTGGTTTCCAAGCCCTGACTACCTTACACAATTGTGCAATAGAAAATAGCTATGACTGGGATCTGTCGACATTTTTAAATGTACAAGTGCATAAGTCAGGATACTTGGCAAAGCTTTTTTGGAGAAGGCAGCTACCGTTTTCCAAATTCCTTTTATGGAATGTTAGAAGTGCCTCCTCAATCCTCGTACCAGATGCAAAATACATCTATTCCAAAAAGTCCCGACCCTTCCAAAAGGGCAATCATTGAATGGAAGGATAGACTGAAAGCATGTTAACTATTGTTAATGGGTTAATGTTCTGAATTCACGAAAAATGCTTCTTAAAGAGCACCAATGGCTTACTACCTTTATAATTTTTTTGCCTTGCCTGCTTACATTCTGAGTGAGAAAGGGGGCTGCTTTGAGTGCACATGGTCAAGGGCTGCTGGCTGGTCTCCAGAAGAATCAGGATCAGGATCAGAGCAGTGGGAGGGGGCATGGGAGCGTGGGCCAAGCCGAGACACTGAGATGAGAGAAGGGGAGCTGCTTATCTCAAGGCCAGATTCCCCAGGTGGGCAGGCAGCCCCTGGGAATAACCAAGATGCACAGGTGCTGGAAGGAGACTCAGAGCAGGGGAGTTTTTCAGGCTCAGGTGAGGGGAGCACAGCTCTTGCCTCCATGAGGCTTGCTCCCTTTCAGAAGCCCCCTGCCCCGAAGAGACAGGGCCCAGGCATGCTCATAAGGAGAGTTTCTGGAGGTGAATATTAGATTGGGTTCAACAAACTGTTCTGCGCAGGCTCAGATTCATTCCGGGTGTTTGGGTGTCTGGAACATGCTTTGGTCAATAAAGAGCATTTTGCAAGAAAGATCTGTCGCTTTGAATGTGTGACAGGAAGAACACATCCAGTGGTCGTATCTACATTCTAGCATCATCAGTCCTTTGAGCAGCCCCTTCCTGTAGGTAAGCTGTGTATGGGAGGGGGCTATAGATAAACCACGGAACTAGAATATTACCTAAAGACTGGAATGGGCCCTTAGACTTCCTTGGGGCAACAGCTACTTAGCTGCTGTCCAAGGTCCTGCAGAACTTGTATGCTGGTAGTTCCTGACCTACTGCCATGTCTTTCCAAGTCTAGCTGGGACTCTTTATAGACCTTTAGCTCTGACCCTAAATATGGAATCTTTGAGATTCATTGCCTTAGTCGCCAAAATTATTCTATATATTACTAGATCCTTCAATCGCTGCAGGAACCAAAGCACATTTCTACTTGTTTCCAGTCCTCTGCAGCTATTTCCTTACCCAGATGAGGAAGTATCATGAAGTTTGATGCTGGCACTGCGGTCTCTTCTCACCGGAGCTGGCTCCAAGGTAGGTAAACCAGTGGCAGATGTGGTTGTTGTCCAAGTTGAGGATACTCGCCGCAGAAGACCTGGCGGCAGACTTTTCCGGAGGCGCTGGGGATAAGAATGGCATCTCCTTTCATTCATGATCACCAGTTGTCATCAGCAGTCCATGCCAGATGACTTCGTGAATAAAGAAAAGAGACTAATTCTTGGTACTTACTCTACTAGTTTTTTTACGCTGCTAATTCTCGGTACTCTCCTTTTCTTATGTCTTAAGCCTAGTTATACAAGTGGGAACACTGTCTTTTTATTACAAACCAATGAAATTTACACAGTCTTTGTCAACAAGCAAAACTTCAGTACTTCCCACAGAATGGGTTTCACAAAATAATCCGTTCCCTGGGCTGGTTAAATAGGACTACCGGAAGTGCTGCAGTAGCTTTAAACTGTTTTGGATGCAATATAGGCTCAGACCCAGTTCAGGAACACAAATCTGAGTCTAATCAACCATCGTTCTCAGGGTGGCCTTTGCTGGAAAGTCAGTGGGCAGTACAAGTTCCAGCTGGGCTGGGGACCTAGTGTCCTCCAGGTGTTTTGCACTGCAAATGTTACAAGCCCCAGACATCATGGCCAAGCATCCTTGGAGTTATGGTCCAAAATTCTTGGGCCCCAAGTTGCCCACACCTGAAGTAAAGTGTTGGATTCAATCTATATTCCAGATTTGCTCCATTTGCCTAGGCTTCCAGTGTTATTTGCCAAATGCTAGTGCCTTCTCCTTCCTCTCCAGCTCTTCTTCTGATTCTGCAGGGAAACAGAACATGTGGGAAGGCTCTTCCTATAAGCACAGTTTCCTAAAGCATCAGCCTCCTCAAACAGCTTTGGTGGGAGCCCAACTCTGGCCTGCCAAACATCTTGAACAGGAGCCCAGGAATTAGCCTTCTGGATATCCAGTTCTATAGGGAAACATTCTGGTTCTACACACCAAGTGCACGGCTGGGTAGCTTGCGGTTCTCCAGATGTTTTGGCCTAAAACCACTTGCTTTGCTAGCTACATCTGTTGTGAGCTGTGGGTTAAAACACCTGAAGGACCAGATATTGCCCCCTGATCCATGATTAATTGACTGAGTCTAATCAACTTCTCTATTCGGTATCAAAATCCTATCTTTGGTATCCTTGTATATTTTGTAACATATTGTATAAACTTTTATTCAGGTCTTAGTTTATGTTCAACAGTAATGACCCTTATTTAAGCCTCAAGCACATCCTTCCCATGGTAGACTTTATCTTTAGCACTAATATACTGTATATATTTACACAGGTCAGCACGATGTGCAAATATACACATTTGCACCTTTCCTATTGAGTATAATTTGAGTTTGGCAGCATGTGCTTCAAGCACTGAGTGTGCCATACCTTGCAGCTGCAGAAAGTGCAAGATAAATATTTATTTATTTAAAACATTTATATGCTGCCTATTCCACCAACGGCATCCCTAGGCGGCTCACACTATTAAAATAACACATCCTAAAACTCACAACGTAAAAACTCGGCAATAGAACTTTAAAATAATAAAACCTAGTTAATCTATAAATTAATGTAAAGATACAAATATGGGATAAATTAATAAAAGCTATCTTTTAAACTCCAGAATATTTAGCCTGGAATCTTTAGATCACGGAATCAAGACCCAAAGAAAAGGGAAACCTGCACTGAACAAGCCTAGCTGGGAAAAAAAGAACACTTACCTTGGGAATTGTCAGTTTTTCTCCCTTCTCCGTGCCTTCCTCTGAGTCTGAGCAGGTATAGTTCTCATTGAAGGAGGCCAAAGGATTGACCCTCGGCTTGTGAATGGCTTGGAAGGTTAGTTGCGTGTTAAGGAGGTTGCTCACCGCCCGCAGGGAGGTGCAGACATTGGGTGGCAAGGAAGGATCTGCCAGAAGGTCTGTAATGAGTCCGTGAGCTTCTCCCATGACAGCAATGTCAACTGTAATGCTGGTACCCGAAGACTGGAAGGAGAGAAACAGAGAAATTTCAGTTCGAAGCTAAGAAGGAGCTAATACAGAGACAGGCAACTGTTTGAGTCACACACATATTGAGCCATTTGTAAACCAGCCCAGGAAACAAAATGGTTGCCACAGGAGGACTTGGAAAGGCAGGACTGTGCCGGAGCAATGGCGTATCAAATTCACTGGCACTTAAGATAAGGCAGCTGCCCATCTGCACGGGAGCTGTAAGCCTCGTGGTTTGGTGGTGCCACTATGGGGGTGTCGTGACAGCCAGCACGGTGCACTGGTCAGTGTGGTTGAGTGGGGCTTGGGAGATCCGGACTCTTCAGCCATGAACCCCGACGGACAACGCTGGACCAGCTGGTGAGCCTCAGGCTCACCTCTCTCTCACAAGGTTGTGGTGAGGATCAACTGGGAGGAGAAGGACGCGAAGGACACGTAAGCCACCTTGGGCTTCTTGCAAGAGGAGGAAAGGTAGGGACACAATATAAGAAATTCTTGAAAGAGTAAGGCAACCTTATACCTACTTTTCCCAACCAGGTGCCTTCCCTGTGTGTTGGAACATGTCCCCAGAGCCCCATGACTTGGGGAAACCAGGCTGGGGAAAGGTGATCCAGTCTGGGCCTCCTTCATTTCCCTTCTGTCCTTCTATAAAGAGAAGGCAAGATCTCCTAGAGAAGAGAATAATGCTAGGAAAAGTCAAAGGCAGAAGAAGGAAAGGAAGACAAAGCAAGAGATGGAAGGACTCCATAAAGGAAGCCACAGCCTAGAATTTCGGACAGCTAAGCATGGATGCCATGGACAGGACAGTTTGGAGGGCTTCATTCATAAGTCACCATAAGCTGGAGATGACTTGATGGCACGTAACAGCAACCTTGTACAATTCAATCAAGGGCACCAAAGCTGAAAGGAGTTGATTTGCTTCTGCCTGACTTTACGAAACCTGTATCAATGTCTGCTGGAAAATTTGTTCATTCATCAACTTGAGGATTCATCATCCTTTTTCCACGCAAAATGAGTTCACCAAGTGGAGAGCAGAATAGAGCACCTGTTGATTAGTTGTTGGCAAACCCTGGCTATGCCACACACTCTGGATATCAAAATCTCCAACAGGCTACTAAGCCAAGGAGAAGCAGGAGAAGGAGAAGGGGAGGGGGAGGAGAAGGGGAGGGGGAGAGAGAGAAGGGAGGGGAGAGGGAGAGGGAGAGGGAGGAGGGAGGGGAGAAGGAGAAGGTGAAGGAGAAGGAGGAGAAGGAGAAGGAGTGGAGCAAAGACTGCAAGTGATTGACATGCAATGTGCAAACTGAAGAACAGGCAGGCAGCTGTGCCTGGCTTGTCTTCAGCTTTTATAGAATAACAGGCCAACAATAAATCATGATTTGATACAGTTTCCAAGTCACATCATGAACTCCCCGGCCAAGAGTCTTAAAAGAAAATTAAAAGTAAACACAGCTCCCTTCTTTTCTCTCTGCTCCCTCCCCTTCCACCTCTTGAATTTCCAAAAAGCCTAGAGCAGTCCATGCCGACGTTTTCTGTGGAAACAGCGGGTCATTGCAGGCTTTGCTCTTAAGCCTCGATTGGGATTTTCACCCAACGTTGTAGAGGAATGGAACGGTGCTCCATCCATTCGTTCAGCATGGCTCTCTGAAGGAACACAGGCTCGACTGCGAAAACGAAAGGAATGGTTTACTTTTCTCGAGTCCTCAATGGGATGTCTTGTGGCTTCGCACCCAAAGGAGTTTGCATGCCATCACTGGGATGAGTGTCAAATTGACCCAGCCGCACCATCTGGAAACGCTTCATCTATTATTATCATTGCTTTAATCGCTAAAACATGTGCCTCCTGCCATTGCTGCAAAGAACTCGGGGCCGCGGATGCCCATGTTTTTCTCATGGAAATCCCACGGTACATCTGAGGCCAGAAAGAGAGGCCTTCTTTCTGTGAGCTTCATGGCCACTTCTGCCAGGCACACACCGAGGGAGCAAATCTTTCCATCCCAAAATGGTGAGGCAACACCAAATGAAAAAGTGAGATTTGACTGTCACACACCTACAGACAGCGCCACATTCAGGTGGGGCTCCAGGTTAGCTCCAGGTGTCTACAAGGCACATTTTGCACCCTGCAGGGATCCCAGAATATCTCTGAACCCAGCTGGTTGGTCACCTCCTAGGCTTCAGTGCACCATCACTGCTCCTGGTACCCTGATCAGTGTTAACAGAGCAAACCAGGAGTTCCGTGGCTGAATTTCACCTTGGTTGCTAAAACGGTTGTGGTTGTTGAAATTCTGTGTCCAAGTTATTAACTTGGCACAGTTTCATACACACCCTTCCTCAATTAGAGGATCATACCAAACACAAAACATTTACAAACATGTGCATGCACATCTAAAAGGAGTTACAATAATAAAAAGTGGACACACATGGACCCGATAATCTCAGCTAAGACAAATGGCATCCCTGAGTTTTGAACTTCTGGTTTGGAAGCCACTGAGAGCTGGTATGGAGGGGAGTGTTGGATGGGGTACAGGGGAGAGCTGGATTCACTGGGTGATGCTGGGCCAGTCACTCCCTCTCAGCTTAACCCTCTCAGGATTCTTGTGAGGATAAAATGGAGTTGTGTACACCATGTCAGGTCCCTCTTAAAAGGAAAAAAATGGCAGGATATAAAAAATAAATTATCATTGGTCTAGGTAGCCATAAATACTGCTGCTATCAACTTCTGCACTGGAATGAGCTTGCTTATCATCATTAGGGTGGCCAGTTAAGAACTGCGAAAAGAAGAGATGCATCACCCTCGCAAAATACAAATTTGCATAAAATTTGCATAAGTTAATAATAATGGTTACAAATAGAAATACAGTAAATCTCACTGTAGTATGGAACACAGTGAGCATGTGGCCAGTAAGTTTGCGAGTCCTTAAAGATGGCTAAAGATTCTGATTATTCTTTGTCTTTAAATTGGGATTAGACTGGGCAACCCTTCAAACTGAGAACTGTCCTTTGTAAAAGAGGATACATGGCTACTCTCATCTCTAGTATTAGAAGGAAGGAGGCTCCACTGAACTTTTGTCTTGGTTGGTTGGAAAAAATGACTCTATATTTGCATTATGGAAGACCTTTTTCAGCTTCTGACTTGTCCTATTTTGCATAGAAATGAATGCATCATCAGAGGTTAGAAATTTCCTATGGGGCTGCATTAATCCTCCCCTACTCCATAATATTCAGTATGAGAGAGGAATGTACACACGTGTGTGTGTGTGTGTGTGTGTGTGTGTGAATCAATTGTGAATGATCTACTTAAAAAAATATTGTTTCCCTCTTATTTCAATGAGGCAGATGGAAGGAATTATAAATTTGTAATGGGGCTCAATTTTACTTAAATTATACGTTGAGTTTAGCATGATTCCCTGTTTGAGAATCTGCCCTTTGTCTTCTTTATAGATCTTTTAATTCTTAAAATCCAGATGGTTACAAATTGGTGACTTGAAATGGGGATGGAAAAAGAAAACAATGGCAACTATCTTTATTCCAAGCGTGAATTGTACTGCATAGCAGATGTGAGCCTGGAGCAGGAGGAAAAGAGAATCATTGATGGGACCCACATTGCGAATACAGAACCCGAGAGGCATTTACTAGCATGAACCAAAGTTAAGAAATTGGGCACAGGAGATGCCTGCAATGCCGGAGGAGAGCTACATTGGAAGTCATGTCCTAAGTCTCTGAGATGAACCTGGGAAGTCTCTACAGAAGGGTATTTACAAGGCCACGGGGTATTTCAAACTGGCTCCTCTGAGCAGAGAAACAGAGGAAGAGTTTAAGAGGGGTGACTGGACCTCACAAACCCCTCCTCTGGTACTATGGACATGTCTGCAGCTCTTCCCACTCCTCTGTCAGAGTGCCAACGCTGGTAGAGACAAAACAAGCACATTCTGTGGGGAAGCTGGAAGCAGATGGAGAAGGCTTAGATCTATGGGATCCCAAGTGCTTCCATTTCCTAGACACACAGAGACCCTGAAGAGGTGCAGCCGGAGGGATATCCTAGAACTGATATGTATAAGGATCCATGCAAAGAAAACCATAAAGGTAAATAACATTAAAAAAAAAACAACAACAGCGAAAAAAACCTGTTAGTTCTCCTTTCCTTCTGGGTGCAAACCCAGCAGAGTTCTGAATAAGAGTTATTCTCTGGCTGTTCCACTCACCAAGTCACTGGTAGGACTGCTCTGAATTATACTTATTTTCTCCTTTCTTTCTTTAACACTTCTGTATACCATCTCACAGCCACATGCCTCTCTAGATGGTTTACTTGATAAAAACCAACCACATAAAACATCCTAAATACATACCATTTATAATATATAACATAACAACAACACAGGAGCACCAAATAATAGCTTAACAACAGACTGGAACTATTTCAAATCAAGAAAAATAAGTCTACATTCAAATATAATTAAAATTAAATTCCAATTAAAAATGCTCCTATTCCGGAGTACAGGCAGGCAGATTGTTCTAATTGCCCATGTCAGTTTTGCATGTGTGAATTCATGTGCAAAGCCAGCCCTCCACCAACCGTACCCCTGCCAAAACAAAGAAAATATTTCCTTGGGAAAAGTAAACAGCGCTGGAGGGCAGTTATGGTGAATTCAGGGGCATTCAGAAGCTTCTAAGCTTGTCCACTTTGCTTTGTCCCTTTGTGAATGTGGGGAGTGAGGTTTTGCTTTTGTCCTCAAAGGAGAAAGCGGGGCACCAAACAGCAAAGCTTTGGCTGCAGAATTGGATCACATCCTGCTGGAAGTGGACCGTGTCTTCCTTTCTTCTGCTCACAGAAATTCAAGCTCAGGGGCCAATGTGGTTAAGCAAACATGGACCACTTACACATCAGCAAGGTAGCCGAAAAGCAAAAAAGGGGACAAGAGAAGGTGCCAAAGTATGTGTGTATCGCACCCTTAGGGAAAGTAGCTGTTATTTAAATAGAAGTACAAAATACCTCACTGTCG